CGTATCCTGCTACCGGCTCTTTCTCTCGCACCGCCATCAAGTCGAAAGCCGGTGTTCGTACTCCACTGGCTGGTATTTTTACCGCGATCATCGTCCTCCTGGCACTGTATGCTTTAACAGCTATGTTCTTCTATATTCCCTCGGCTACACTAGCAGCCATTATCATTCACGCCGTCGGTGATCTTATCACACCTCCCAACGTCGTCTTCCAGTTCTGGGAAACTTCGCCCCTAGAAGTCATCATCTTCTTCGCCGGTGTCTTTGTCACCATCTTCACCAGCATCGAGAACGGAATTTACGTCACCATCGCTGCATCTTTCGCGCTCTTGCTCTGGCGCCAACTGTTCACACACGGTGCTCTCCTCGGCAGAGTCCGAATCTACCGCGCAACTCCGGACACAATCGCCCACAAAGAAGACGGCCACTTCGCATCCGGTTCGGAAACTTCTGTCCGGGAAGCCTTCATTCCAGTTGATCACAAGGACGGGTCCAATCCGCTCGTAGGCATCGAAACACCATACCCTGGTGTGCTCATTTACCGCTTCACCGAAGGCTTTACATACCTCAACCAACAAGGATACATGGACGAACTCGTGCACCATGCGCAAACCATTTCCCGACCCACGACACTGGATAAATACACCAAGATCGGTGACCGGCCCTGGAATGATCCCGGTAAGAACGTTCCCCCATGTAAAACCCCCTTACCTATTTTCAAATTACTCATTTCGCAACAATCAGGCCCACGACGCGGTCAACAAATCAACTACGACGACAACCGGCCCATCCTCCGCGCCATCATCCTCGACTTCAGCGCCGTCAACAATGTTGACGTAACCTCGATCCAGGGTCTCATCGACGTCCGCGCCCAGCTCGACCGCCACGCCGCGCCCGAAACCGTCGAGTGGCATTTCGCCTCCATCAACAGCCGCTGGACCAAGCGCGCGCTGACAACCGCGGGCTTCGGATACATTGACCGCGAGCGCTTTGCTTCTCGCCAGCACTGGAGCCCAGTCTACAGCTACGCCCCACTTGAGACTCCAGCAGCCAAGCTGCATGATCCTGAGGCGCAAGACGATATCCACGTTGTGAATGGTAACAGGAGTTTGCCGAATAGCAAGGTCACGACTTTACATGGCCAAAACCGACCGTTTTTCCATATTGACGTTGCGGCGGCGGTGGAGAGCGCGATTGCGGCTGTTGTTGCTAAGCAGCAAGGGAGCTCGGGAAGCTCACATGAAGTCGGAGAGGCAGAATTTACGACAAAGCAAGGTTAACTTAGATTTTTCTACAAATTCATTTAGAAATGCTTAATGATTTATGTGATATTATTATTTTTTCACCTTCTTCCACACACTCTTCTTCTTGAACTCTTTCTTCTTCTTCCGTTTTTTTTGGACTTTCTTTATTGATAAATCACGTGTCCCTGTGCTGTAAACATTTTACTTAGATTGATCTTGTAAAAGGAGAAACCTTGTTCCCTTCGTAATCTGCTGTTGCACACACACATTCATCAATGCATGCAACATGCGTTGTTGAGGAATCCGTGTGGGTACAAGACGGAACGGACGGCTAGTGGGCCGTTGGCAAAGACAAAGAGTGGGGAAAAGAAGTGATGAAATGGCAGTTTCTAACGCTAATTTCCTCAAGATGAGATGTAAGACTGGGTCGTTGGAAGAGGAAAAAAATGTAGAGAGTTCCAGGGGGGTGGGGGAGAGGCTGCGCAAACTTAATGTGGGAATAGCATTTCAATCGGCGAGGCTGATGCCAAGTAGAAGTGCGTATACTAGGCGATTGCTACAGATGTAAGTAGTACGTAGTTCTTACTACTACTACGAGCACCAAGAGAACGCCAACAAACGACCTAGTCGAAAAAAGAAAAGATGGACAAACAGCTGCAGGGCCGACTTGCACCATACTTCGGACGATTGATTGCGCATGTTCTCACGTAAGCCGTTCCGTTCTCAAAAAAGTCATGTATGTGTGCGTATGTGCGTGCGAGAGCACATGATCATTTTGCGATAGTAGTGAATACGGGGACTGCCCGACATTCCGAAGCGACCGCCCAAGGGATGATGACGACTTTGTAAATTAGAAACTTTAGAACATGGACCAATCAGCTTTCCCCCCTCCCTGGCCCTGACCGAGGTTCTCTTAGTCGGTGCCGTGGGCCGTAGAAATCCTTGCTAGAAAAGGAAGACTGGGTATGACTCTGAAACAGTGCTAAAACAGCGGAATGCGTGCTTCCACTACCGTTTACGTCGCTGGGGATCCTGCTAGGTATGATCTGATTACGGAGCAGCGCATTAATTGGCGGCAACGCTGTTGCTTTTGCACGGGCATAGCATAAATGGCGATGAAACCTCATGCCTGGATGTTACTTCAACACGTGGGTTCGTATATGCACCCCGCGTCTGGTGTGTATTGTTAAAGGGATTCTTTTCCAAATCTCCGGACGCCAGTCATCGTTCCGAATGGTCACTGCATCCCGGCAGTTGATCGGCAGGCGAGGTGGCCGCAGTACTACCGGCGATATGAAAATTCAATCTACTCCATCATAGCCATGTGAAAAGTATGCTTCCCATCCACGTCTATAACAGCATGACCAGAAGACTGGCGGCTTTGGAAGTGGATCTTAATGGTGATTTCGAGTAAGCCAATTTTTGCCGCCCACCCATCGTATATGTGAAATTAAAATGATTGGGCGATGAGGTACTGGGCAGGGCAGGTTCCTACCCCGGAGGTTGACTGCATTGGGTCGCCGGCTGAAGTAGAAAGTAGATTGTAGACTTTTCAGATACGGAGAAGATTTGACAGCGCAGCCAAACAGCGGAATCGATCTAGGTAGAGGGTGTGAGGATGGAGGTCTAGAAACCTTCCATCGTAACCATAATGTTGGGTAGTATCAGAGTATATATATGTGCCTTGGAAGCACATTTGACAATTCAACAACTTGCCAAGTATCTTCGAAAAGACTACCAATCTTGCCTAACATGGTGTCTCTTAAGCAATTCACCTTTCTCGCTCTCACCACTGGCCTCGCCACGGTTGCTGCTCAGTCGACAGGAACGACGACACGTTACTGGGACTGTTGCAAAGGGTCATGCGCATGGGAGGGCAAAGCCAGTGTCACCCAACCTCTCAGGACGTGTGACAAGAACGACAACCCCATTACCGATGCGATGGCGAAGAGCGGATGCGAGAGCGGTGGCACTGCATTCATGTGCACAAACCAGACGCCGTGGGCAGTCAATGACAACCTCGCATATGGCTTTGCTGCTGTGAAGCTGGCCGGAAAGGGCGAGAGTGACACATGCTGTGCTTGCTATGAGTGAGTATACGGACGAGACTGCGTTTGAACAAAGGTGACTAATAGACAATGTTCAGGTTGACCTTCACGTCGGGCCCTGTCGTGGGCCAGAAGATGATTGTGCAATCCACCAACACGGGTGGTGACCTTGGAGACAACCACTTTGATCTTGCTATGCCAGGCGGTGGCGTAGGCATCTTTAACGGCTGTACTGCAGAGTTTGGCGCGCCGTCCACCGGGTGGGGCCAGCAATACGGTGGCATCTCGAATCGGTCTGAGTGTGATACCTTTCCTGAGAAGCTCAAGGCAGGGTGCCAGTGGAGATTTGACTGGTTCAAGAACGCCGACAATCCGACCATTAGTTTCAAGGAGGTGAATTGCCCTGGTGAGTTGACCAACCGGACTGGCTGTATCCGGTTGTAGAGAAGGGACAAGAAGAATAGGAGTTCCGCTGTTGATACATGATCAGCACAAAGGAGGCAAGATGTACATACATACGCAGACACGCAATGGCGAAGCGGCGACAAACCACGGCCAGCTGTCCCGCAGCGTAAGGCATTATAGTCAAATAAGTTCAGATCATCGTCATCAGCCTTTTTGGAGACAGTGCTTGCGTTTGTGACACGGCAGAATTGTTGTCGGGGAGAAAGTGTTCCCGGACCGAACCTACACCGCCTGGAGAGGGGAATATTGCAGCTTGACCATGACGTGAGTAGCAGACAGTGGACACTGGTCATGGACAGGTACAAGTGTGTGCAGATGGGTGAAAAGACAGGGGTAGAAAGCGGGCGGGGGCCCAAAAGGGAAACGTGGAGAAGCCAAGGAGCTGTGTCAAGCGGACAACGGCGAGGTGGGTAGGAAGTGCCCGTTTGGGCGACGCGCGTTCATTTTGAGCAGATGCTGATCAGCAGTGGGAGGAATGGTGGATAAGATGAGGCGGTTGGCTCAGGACAGAGAGCGGTTGCGGCAAGGCGTTTTGCCCGACTAGGGGGGGTGAAACAAAAAATGACGCAGGGCATCTCGCAACTCGCCAGTTCTCCGGGCCTGCGCGGGCCAACCAGGCGCCAAGTGCCGACTCTTTGCCTGAAGTGCCCGCCAGCAGAAACTCTGTATGCATCCACACTAACCGACCAACCATCCTCACACGCACACACACTCTCACTCACACCATGGCATGCGAGAATCCCGTCTCCACCCCACACTCGCCCATCCCATTCCCTCCCGCCACAGCCTCCCGCCCCGTTTCAGACGTCTTGATCGCCGCCGGCGCTGCCAATGGTAAGCTCGCAGCTGCACAAGGGCCTTGACCGTCATGTTGATCTCACTTGCACCGCATGACACGAGCTCACCGAGCCGGCGTAAAAGTGAACCCACAGCACAGGCATGGATCGCCACGCCGCCTCGGACCCTTGGGCTCATGATTTTGACAGACGCCGACGATCTTCGCCGCTGCTCCGCCGCTCGTGAACATACATGTCCTCCCTGAAACCCGTCTTCTTTTCTTATTCACGCCCACTGCTGCAAAATCTCTCCCCTCGCCCCCGCCTCCCGCCTGACCTGCCCGCGTCTCATGGCTGCGGCCACGCTCTTCTACTCTCCACCAGCCTGCCATCCGTACCAATCCTCTCATTTACTACTAATCCCCGTTTGTGCTTCAGCCTGGTGCTGCGCCCTCCATCGCTAGACCAACATGCCTCACCGCAACCTCATCTGCCGCCTTCTCTTCTGCGCCATAGTCTCTGTATCTGTCCTTAATGTATTCACAAAGGCCGCCACGCCCCGCTTGCACCGTCCCGCAAAGGCCTCGTCCCACCACGGTTCGTCCGACATTTTCTGCCCTCAGTCCCCGCTCGCCAAGGACGTCCTGGTGGTACTACGAACTGGTGCCACAGAGTCCCTTGAAAAGGTACCGGTGCACTTCCAGACCACGTTGCAATGTGTGCCCCACTATGTCATCCACTCGGATCTAGACGAAGAGATTGAGGGCCATGCTGTACATGACGTCTTGAAGGGCGTCAGTGACAAGACCAAGCAACAAGTCGACGACTTCAAGCTGTACCATCAACTGCAAAAGCATGGAAGGCGTGGAGTACCACAGCAGCAAGTCATGACGTCGCTGTCTGGTTCCTCGCAGGGTGATTACATGCGTACCGACAACGCCGGGTGGCAACTGGACAAGTGGAAGTTCTTGCCTATGATTGACCAAGCCATCAAAGCGAAGCCTGACGCCAAGTGGTATGTCTTCATCGAGACCGACACGTACCTGGGCTGGAACAACCTCCTCGAATACCTCGCCAACTTCGACGACAGCAAGCCCTACTACATCGGCAAACATCTCTACATCAACCAAGTCGAGTTCGCATACGGCGGCGCTGGCTTTGCCTTGTCCAACCCCGCCATTATGAAGGTTTCCGAACAGCGATCCCAGCACCTAGAGGAATACGAAGAGTTTACCAAGACACACTGGGTCGGAGACTGCGGACTGGGCAAGGTTTTTGAAGACAGCAAAATTCCACTTCACCGCGCATTCCCACACTTCCAGGGCGATTCACCAGCTACCCTCAACCCAGCGACGTCCAAGATCGACCGCGACCTGTGGTGTTACCCTACCATCACCTACCACCACGTCTCACCTGCCGAGATTGAAGAGCTTTGGGAGTTTGAGCAGGACTGGTACAAGCGACATCAAATTCTCCTACGTCATCGAGATGTCTTCACGGAGCTGGTCCGGTCCAAGATTGACACGTCCGTATTGGAATGGGACAATATGTCTGCCGACAGGGAATACAACGCCCACGACCATTCTGCTGCCGCGAATCAACTCGAAAGAAACGCATGGAAATCATTTGAGCGCTGCCACGACCTGTGCGAAGAACAGAGCGACTGCATGCAGTTTTCTTTTGACGCAGGCAGCTGTGCCATCTCGACGACATTCAAGCTGGGCTATGCCAAGCCCTCGGGAAGAATAAAGAGTGGGTGGATGCTTGATCGGGTCGACGACCTGTTCCGCCAGCTTGAAGACCGCTGTGGCCTGAGAGATTGGTTTGCGCCCAATGAAAGCGCATCCAACACCGAGCTCAAGCTCAAGCGGATGATGAGAAGGAAGGTTTAACCTTTTCCTATCACTACTACCTTTCCTTTACCTACAGCATCAGCATTAACGAATTTCTTTTCTCTTGTAATTGCACAAAATCATGATACCCCCTCTATCCAACATAGACACTCGCTACCTGGTTTACTCCTACCAATACATCCTACCAACCGCTGGGTTATACCCTTGTATATAGAATAGTCACAAAGAGCCGCACTGCGCGAGCCCCTCTGAATCAAAGAATTAATTTAGTAACAAGAAAGCTAAAACATAAATAGCGCACCCGTAAAGCATGTCATCACACTGACGCCACTTCGTGAGCTTATATAAATACACGTCAGAGCACCCAAGCATATATACCTTGGGTATTACGTACGTTGAGCTAGTAGCACGGATGAAAATGCCAATTATACGCCATCACATCTTCTGGCCGAGGAGAGAACAAAAAATGAGACCGAACATGTTCAATCGTACGATTACATAAATTTCGCACTCGTACATGTAAAAAAAAATCCTGTCCTTTTTAACTTATTGAAACAAGTTCTTCCTACTCACAAACACAACAAGATGGAGAAAAGAAAAAAGGGGGAGAGAGAGGAGAGGGGGGAGGGGGGGGGATAAAGTACTCTCTTGTAGATATTTATAGTGGTAATAAGACTCTGTTCATATTACTCCCCCATGACCATTCCACACATACATGCAACTACACACTCGCAAACATTACAGCGAAAACTGGCGACGACGACGACGACTGCGAGCAGACGTTAGAGTACAAGTACAAAATCAAAGAGCAAAAAAAAAAGATCAGAAGCGCTGGTGATGATGCTTTCGCTCGCTCGCTCGCTTGAACAAAGGCAAAAAAAAAAAGACACACAAGACGACGCCNCCCATTGACCCCATTGTCCGACAAAACGTACATTCTTTCTCTTTACTACATATATGCTTTCAAAAAAAAAAAGTTTGTGTGCGCGCGCTCAAAACTTGGCAAAAAAAAAAGTTAAAAGGGATGAAAGTGAGGGAGGTTTGTATTATTAAATGCCATTGAACCATGTAAACTTTCGGATAAAAAGTGAGGTGATGAAAACAAGATGAAGACGAAAGAAAACCCCTCCCCCTCCCCAACCCGCTTGGGCAAGAACGAACATCCTTTTATAATGCAATCGCCGTAGCTGTACTATCATGCTTATGCTCGGCGGCAAGATTGTCCGTGCTATCGGCATAAGCCAGGAGAGCTTTTGCGTCATCGAGGCCTGAAATAGCAAGGCCCTTTTCGTCTTCTTCGTGAATGGTGCTTTCTTGCAGACTTTCTTTCGAGTATTCACTCTTGCGCTCAGAGTCCGCCATGCTGCCTTCGGCGTCCTCGTCCATTAGGTTCGGGGGACGCTGGCGCATCGCACGCGCCTTTTCGAGCGAAATCGTCTTTTGCTGGTACGTCGTTGTAAAGGGGGCCGCTTCGTCGCGGTCAATCGTCGCTTTCATCAACGCAGCCATCCATAAACGTCCCATTGCCAGGCTGTCCACTGCGAAATAATGTACAATTGGCTTAGTAAACTGAACACCTTTTTGCAGACCTGCACGAGGTGGTACCAGCTTAAAGATGAACATGCCCGACATATCTGGTTCAATCCCTGGAATTCCCTTGGCGCTGTCTGTCGATGCTGCAGTTTGGATCGTGGCATTGTGCGGTGAAGTTGGAGATGAGGCAGCACCAGTCAATGATGCGTGGAGTCCGGTCATGCGCTCGTCATTAGCCGGCAAAACACGATGTGACGATATGTCGATGAGGCCCTTCTCTTCCGTATCGTTTTCTGTGTAGTAGTAGGCAAGGCGTCGGCCACGCAACACAAATAGACGTGTCTTCCACGTCGTCATCAGACTTGACGACTTCTTCTTCATCCATCCACTATAGTCACAATTCTCCATAGCCTGCTGAGGAGTGATTTGTTGACGACCTTTGAGGTAGGCGCTGGTGCCGTGTTTCTTGGTCTTTTTCCGCGCTTCCTTTGTGCTGGTGGTGGAACTGCTGGTCATGCGTCTGTTTGGATCCGCCTTGTCAAGCTCAATGCTCTTGGACATGGAGTTACCAGACGGCGTACTTGAGCCTGTCCGGGAGGGTGACTGCATTGGAGAATCTTTGTGTGGTGAAGACACATCTGCGGCACTTGCGTTTGCCTTTTCCCCACCGGTGATGGCGTCCGATATAGCCCGCAAGCCCCTGGATTGCGACCCCTTTCGACTGCTGAAAAATGATCGCGTATGCGATTGCGCTGCAGGAGATGGTGACGCGCGGCCAGTGCTTGATGTTTCACTGCCAGGCATGTGCGGAGAATTCGCAATAGCATCGATGCTGTGCGAGTCGTATGTAAGCTTGGTGACTGTTGGGTGCATATCCGTCTGTGGCTTTAGTGGTCGCACAAAGTCAAAAGCACTCGAGCTGCGCTCGCTCTTAATACTAGTGCCATAGTACTGCTTCGCGGCAACCGAGATGGGGCTTGCCGAGCGGAAAGCAGAGTCTGCACTACCAATTCTGCTGTGTCGTCGCCCGTACGATATCCGCCGTCCAGCCTCAGTGCTGTAGCTGGCGTTCCGAGAGTGGCTAGGGCTATCTCGCTTGCGCAAAACATTTCTGTTCTTCCGGTTGTCGACTTCTCCACCGGAAAAGTAGCCCCTATCAATGTCTGCAGGGGCTAGGCCAGCCTCGACAGTGTCATAAGAGGTTCCGTTTATACTCGAGCCATGCGTGTGATGCGAGGATGACGGGCGATTGATTTCTTGCACCGGCTTCTGAGGGGAACCCATTGTCCAGTTGCGATCGAAAGACGGCGTTTTCCTATGGGGGTTGGCCGATGCAGGCGACTTGATCATGCCCGCTGTACTAGGCGTCGAGGGCACTTGGTTGTAATCGACAGAGGAGTGGCGTCTGTTGTGGTTCATACTTCGAACGGACGCAGCAGAAGGGCGGATGGACGACCCAATGGGGGGCGAAGCAGGCGTGTGCTGAATTAGTGGGGATGTAGCGTCCTGAGCGGACGACGGACCTGCCGAGGATGCAGCTCGCGGAATGTGCTGGCGGCTCGTGCTGCCACGCGAACTAATGCTATCTCTGAGAGTGGGTATGCGTGGGAGGACGGCGCCTGTGGACGCTGCTCGGTTTCGTCCACCATCGACTGGGAATTCGTCGTGGCCTTCAAGGGAGGGCAGGGGCAGGGCGTCTTTGGCGACTTCCTTTGCGCTCTTGACCTCAGATTGCAGCGCATTGATCTTCATCCAGGTGCGCAGCCTTGGACCCATTGGGCCCAGATCGAACTCTTGCATGAAGATAAAGTTGCGATCCACACCCAACAACGCCTCACCGTCGATCTCCTGGTCCTTGAAGACTTGGCAGTGCTTCTTCTCTACGCCCACTTCTTCCAGGTACTCGGCTACGCGGGCGGGCGACCATGTCTTGACCTCTTCCTCAGTGTGCCAATTTTGCTCTTCTTCGTCAGTTTCCTGGCCATTGATGTACGAGAGGCGGTGGTGGCTGCTGTACTCGCTTTCCGAGTCTGCAGATCGCATTTCCTTGGTCGCGGAGTTGAGTCTCGGGGTGTTCATACCGGTAATGTGCTCGTCAATTACGCTCAGCGTCTCGTGCATGACTGGGCTTCCTATTGTTTCTTCGTCGGGCGGTGCCTCTCCATTTAGGGTCATGCTGATGCTCCGGGGAGCGCCCTGGGCTGATGATCTCCGCATCGTCTCTGGTCCCTGGGCAATGTGAAGGGGCTCTGTTGGGGGAGATTTCAAGGGCGAGGGGGCACTGGACGATGGTGAGGGCTCCGAGATTGCGGTACCGGGTGGGCCCGATGCGTCTGACGGCGGACCAGACAACTGCGAGGGGTTGCGCGAGAGCATGGTGGGGATGGGCGTGGGCTTGGGGGCAGGTCGTGTATAGACTGTGGTTGTGGTCAGGGAGAATCTCGTCATAACAGCATGACAGATGCTGTTGGCTGGGGTTTCCATGCAAGCAGGACGCACCTTCGGGAAACAGGCCATTTTCGCCCGTTTCAGTGTTCTTGCCCAGGAACCAGCCATCGCCAAAGTCATCGTCGCGTTCAATGAGCTCAATGCGGTCTCCGCGCCTGAGGCTCAGCTCGTCGGGGCTGCGGGCGACGAACTCGTCTGCGGCGGCGTGTTAGCAGGCATGAAGGGAGAAGCATGGGCATTGCAGGTAACGTACGCACGACGACAAGAGTGTCGCCGGGGCGGCAGCCCTCGGTGTGGGAGCGTTGGGCCATGGTGGTGGTGGTGGTAGTGGTGGTAGTGGTAGCAGCAGCAGCAGCTCAACAGGTGTTGAGGCTGCGTGGGAGAGGGGCGTGGGTATGGGCGCGGGCGTGGGGAGTGCGGCGCAAAGGGCAGGATTGATAACGGCGGTGGCGTCGAGCAGCGGCAGTCACCCGTCAGTCGTGGAGATTCATGAGAGCATGGCGGCGCTGTGTGGCGGGCAGAAGAGGCGCCGTTGGTGGGGATGAGGGGCGATGGCGGTGATGGTAGCGACGGCAGAGGTGAGGGTATAGTGCCTGCCCAGCGTCGTGGCTGGCCCGGATTAGGTGCTGGTGGGCGGGCCAGCTAATACTTGGTAGCCTGCAAAGGGCCGGGGCAATGACCGTGGCTACATGTCCATTCACCACCGACCATTGGCCAGCCCAGCTTTCGCATCACGGCCAGGAGCAGCAGCAGCAACATCAGGAGCAGCTTCAAGATCAAGATCAGCCTGCGCCGTGCCAGCCCACGCACACTGCGCCCCAGCCATGCTACCGAATACACGCCCGCTGGTTGCGCCGCGAGGTCAGCCCGGCGTTTGGACGAGGTCGGTTGTGTCGCATCCGGCCCTCTGCGTTTTTCTTTTCGTTTTTGTGCTTTGGCCCGGCAGCTGCAGGTGACAGGCAGGTGGGAGCAAAAGGGCTGCATTGGGTGCACTTGGTTGATTAAATTGCATGGCCATGTCCATTTCCGTTTCCATTGGCACCCGCTCTCGCATCGCCGTTACCCACGCGCCCGCACCCCCTTTACTCGCCCACGACTACACACACACATGCATACACACTCTGGCCCACCTCCATTCCCACCGCCGCCCTCTGTTCGTCTCTGGCGGTAGACGGGCAGCAAAAGACCCAGAATACGGCCGGCAGACGGTAACGAGTACGGGCGAGCAATGCACATAATCCGCCCCCGCCGCCCGCACGTGCGCGCGCGATGGCCCCACCCATCCCGCTTGAAACAGGCCGTGGGTGGGTGAGCACGTCCACGTCCATATCCACGTCCACACCAAACATTGAGTCCCTCACCCATCCACCCGCTCATTCTTTGAGCCCGCGCCATGGTTTCTGCTGGCCGCTCGCCGACCGACAATGCCACGGCCCATACCCTCCACCATGCCCTCGGCAACCTCGGCGGTCCGCGCAAGAGCTGGATGTTGCCCGCCAATGCCCCCGTTGAGCCCACGGCACTTCCCGCACAACCCTCCGCCAGCCCTCTGCCATTCACGGTGCGTGGCCGTGGAAGGCCTCGCAAACTACCCTCTCAGAGGCGCCGTCCTTCTTTGCACCCCGTAGACCCGTCTGCCCAGTCACAGTACACAGGCCAGCCGGAGCAGCGTCCAGCTTACAACTCTAGTCCATCTCCCCGGCTAGCCAATAATACCCCGGCTCCTAGACCCTCCATTGCTTCTGTGCTTCCTTCGCCAACTCCTAGTAAAGATGCAGCAACCAGCGCGGCAGCAGCAGCAGCAGCAACAGCAGCAACACCATCACCAATCACGTATAGCCCAGCGATCAGTGTAGACGCCTTCACCTTTGACTCTGCCGGAGTAGCCTATGCGCCAGAAACACCTCTAGAGCACATATACATGGACTCGGCGCCGCATAGGCGCGCCTCACACGGCTCAGTAGACGGGAACACCCGTCAGATATTCGCCCCGCCCGCAACTACAAACCCCCGGCCGTCAGTCAGACGAAGCATGACAAACATGCCGTCCCAGATTGCCACCGACGCTGCAACCTTAGACCTCGCACGTCGCCCATCATTGAACACGTACCCGCAGACCAACAGTCCAATACAAAGACAGACTCACATTTACACTCACAGCCCTTCCATGTTGATGCATCCGCCCGGCCAAGTGCCGTCTCCACATTTTCCCACAGGCGTACAATTCCACCACCCAGCCGAGCGCAGGGCAACGGTTCCACCGCAAACGTTTCTTGGTGTCTCGTCCAATCCCTCAAACAGGTCGCCCAGAATGTCGTCGTGGTACAATACCAACAGCTGTTTGGACAAACTAAGCGCATTCCAGGTTTCAATATCTGCATTACCCAGCCACTCTAGTGATAAATTGCGATTGAGCGTGCTGCGGGATGCAACTGAGAAGCAAGACTGGTTCTTTTTGACCATGCACCAGTGCTACTGTATGCTCACCACAGCTCCCGAGACTCTACCTGATAGCATTAAAAATCTTCAGGGCTTGCCTCAGGCAGAAAAGGTACTTCAGGACATTCTTACACCCAACCAAAATTTGAGTTCTGGGGTCCTGTACTTCTTCTCAAATTACCCGTATCCCATGCAAGAAATCTGTGCCAGGTGGCTCTCGGGTTTTGATTATCAGGTGCAATTGTTCAGCGTGTTTGTGGCTCATTGCTTCAACTACGAATACCTAAAGAGCACATGCGATCAGCGTCGTTATCCACCACTCGCACGCGAAATGGACATAAGTCTCTGTATCCCTTCGAGTGTTTTCCAGCGCCTCGTATTTACTGCATTTTTACGCTACCTCTGGCGCGCCAACCCAAAAACTCCCCTTGCGGATCAATTCGAGGCCACGGCTGTTGCTATTTTTCAGCAAAATCAGGTCGATTATTTCCGCCAGATAATTGAATCGACTCCTGCCCAGTCTCGAGAGGCACTGGCTACGGAACAAGTCTGTGCTTCCAAGCTCCGAGCGACTGTCGAAGGCTATGAAAATGCCCTTCGCCAAGCAGGTGTTTCACCAATCCCCCTCTACCAGTCGCAGCAACAACAAAGACAGAGCAATACTATAAGGCAGCTCGATGCCAACAGTGTCGTGAGTCCATACCCTCAACAGCCCACTGTTCATCAAGTGTACGAACAAAATCATGCCCCGTCTCTACCAATCAACACAAATCTACAACCCCAATCGGCACCAACACCAACATCAGCTCAAATCCAGACGAAGCCGCACACGAGCTTGCTTCCGCCATCTGGGCACGTACAGCCTCAACAGCGCGTGGCCAATGCTGCTAGATTCTCTCTCCACCAAGCCCATTTGCGAAGCCCCGTCCTCACTGCGCATTCCGTCCCATCAGCGCTGTATACGTTCCAAGAAGGATATGTCAAATCCCCTGCGCGACTGTCGGAACCAGGCTGTACAATGGAAAAATGGGTTTTTGTAGTGACACCTGATAAGATGAGTTCGTTCCCTAAGACTGTCCGCCAATCAGTTGCCGACCCCGGCATCCGAAATATCAACGAGACAAACAAGATTGCTCGTCTGCGCTGTATCAAATGGAAAAACGGGACAGATACACCAAAGGAACATGTCTGGGCAACCACTGATACATCATGGATACCGTACCTGTATCTTAGCTTAAACGGTACGCGTCTCGAAACACGCAAAAAGATGCATCAGGGCAAGGACTTGGCTGTCGACGTTACTGACCTACTTCGCGAGGGCGAAAACATTCTCGAAATGACCGTCATAACCCAACCAAGCGACACATCGCACTTGGACTACCTCCTCGCCATTGAAGCCATCACCATCATCTCCCACGACTCCATCAGACTAAACTGCACAACCCAAAACCGCGTCCCCGCCCAGACTGTCCTCGAATCCATAAAACAGAAACTCTCAGGCTCTTCGACCGCCGCCGCCACCGACGACGACGACGTCCACATCGTCCAAAGCAACATGACCATCAACCTCCGTGAACCCTTTAGCCAATCCAGACTCTGTGACACACCCGTCCGCAGCAAATTCTGTCTTCACAACGACTGCTTCGACCTCGACGTCTTTTTGTACTCCCGACCTCAAAAAGGCCATGCATCCGTCGTGGACCAATGGAAATGTCCCATTTGCGGCACCGATGCAAGACCGAATGTGCTGGTACACGATGGCTTTATCGAGCATGTGAACATGGCGCTTGAGGCGAGGGGATTGAGCGAGACGAGGCAGATTGTTGTGCTGCAGGATGGCGAGTGGAGAGTCAAAGATGAAAGCGAGGGTGGGGCGGCGCAACGGCGTGAGTCTGAAGAGGGTGAGGCTTCTACGCATGGTACTGCTAGTGCTGCGCTTCAGCGATCGTCTGTGCCCAGGTCGTCGTATATGCCTATACCTGCCGACGTCGAGATTATTGATCTTAGTGATTAAGGTTGTTTTCTGTCTTGGCAAAATTCTTGTTTTTAAGTTTGATGGATAATTTTACGGGTCCATCTAGGTTCTTCTTCCATGCAGGAGATAGATCCTCTTCTTCTTCTTCTTCTTCTTCTTCTTCTTCTTCTGCTTGCGGATGTACACATGTACATTCACGCATCATGTACCTAGGCGTTCCTTCCCTTTTCATTCATCCTATCCAGTGGAGTTTTTTTTTAACCCGGAGATGCCTGATACCCCCTTTGCCCTTCGCTTACCTATATCCAAACCTATGGCTTTGCTGTATAATTCTCGATAGTACAAAAAATCATGATAAAATCTCTTCTTCTGCTACTCTCTTTTACTTGCTTCTCGTCAAAACAAAAAAAAACTCGTGGGATATCAAGCTGAAGAAGAGAAATAAAACGTAATCTATAAGATTAGATGTAAAAGATTTCTATCTGTTTCGCTCGCGCGTAGCCTAGGCATTTGTATCTATGTTTGTTAAAAAAAAAGCAAAAATTCGTTAAATGCGGGAGGGGGATAGATTAAAAATGTCAACCTCTAGCGGGACCGCAGCCGCTGATTGACCCAGAAAAATAGTTCTAGGGAGGAAGACATTTATGCACCCCCCTCCCGTCCAGAGCCAGCTTGGTTCCTCGTTCGCGGAACGGACGGGCAGGGAAATCGTCTGTATGGGTATATATAACATCTCCTTCTACATCCGCAAATCGCAGACGCGCGCCCGGCGTATCTCGAAGGGGGAGGGGAAGGGGGGGAAACCTCCTGGGCTTTGGTTCTCCAAATTAACAACTGAACATCTCATTTCCCTCTCCTCTTTCGCAACTCGTATGAAATCTCTGCCATTTCCAAGACTCCATCTTCGACTTCCTTCTTCATCCAGCCAGCCGCACCGTCCACTTCTCCTTCTTCTCGACACAGGCAACAGGCGCAGGCGCTTGGACCACATTCATACCGTACGCCTCGAGATCATGACAACTGGGGAGCCGCCCACTGCACGCGATTTCCCTTAGCAAACTGGGACCGCGACCCATATCCACTTCGCCGCCCAGGACCACACACGCAGCTTCTTCGAGCTTCTTGGCGAGCAGCTGCCATGCGCGGCCATGCCCCGTCGCGCCGTCGCATGCCTCATGCATGGAGCACGAGCGGCAGGAATACGCTTTGAGGAAGGCATGGCACATTTCGTGGATAATGGTTCCGAGGCGGTTGTTCAGGCGCAGGATATCCGGGTGGTGACTGGGCGTGCCGGCGCCGCGGTATAGAGTGGGATGGACGAGGATCTGGGTGCCGATCAGAGGGTTGAAGAGGCTTTTGCCAAAGCAGTCGCGCTGCTGCTCGGGAAGGTACGAGAAACCTGCTGTGAGAGTAGCGTTGTGCGTGGGTACGCAGCCTGAGAAGAAGACGCGGTTCAGGTGCGTGAAGAGCGTGGTTAGTTGCGCGACTGAGAGCGTGCGGCGCATGTCCAGGCCCGTGATTTGCGGGTGCCACGCTTTGAGGAGACTGCGCAGTTGGTGGACGGCCGGGGTAATGTGCGCGGATGGGTGGAGATAGGTCGCGTCGAGCCACGCCATGTGGTGTCGTACCAAAGTCATGGCTTCATAGTCGCCGCGAAAGCGCAGTCGCAGGTACGATCCTGGACTGACCTGCTTGGGCTGATTCTCATACAACAGGCCTTTAGAGCGCCGGGAGCGGTTGATGTTGGCCAGTTGGTCCTTGATGATGCCATGGGATTTGGTTGTCGTGATTTTGTAGAGCTTAGGCGCGCACTCGTCGCATTCACATGGTACATCTGCTTCTTGCACGTCTCTTCTCAGCTCATCAAGGTTTCGCGGGGCCTCAGAGGGCTCTGTTTCCGTTTTTGGCTGCGGAGGTCGTCCGAGGATGCGGTCCTCGATAAATGACAGCTTAGGGTCGAGCGAAATGAGCGGCTCGAGAAAGGGAAGCAGGTAGTGCCATTTAGATGGGCCGTGACATGCTTTGCCCTGCTCGTGGTCTCGTATCTGTTCCCTGGTACTGGGTGTTTTTGGGTTTCCGAGGATGAGCTTTGCAATTCGCCGAAGGGGATGAAGCCGTCTCCTCTTCCTCTTGACGGTAGGGTTATTGGCCGAGGTGTCTGAAACGGGAGGGTTCCCCATGGGGCTATGTTAATGAAATCTGACGTATAGCACTTGACATGAAGGAAGCAAGGAGGGCAGGAGATATTTCTTTGCCCGGAAGTGGGCCCATGATAGCCGTTTGCCATGCGGAGGGCAACCCGAACAGTGAGGCGGTCAAGCGATAAGATTGAGAGATCCTAGTCACAATATGCTTGTGTATCTCACTATGCACGCCATGCAGTGCACAGACGGTTGGAGCGGTCAAGGGTGGAGACGAGGGTTGGCAGGCCTTCCGGTGCGAAGCAATCGGGTCTGCAGAGACGGTAAGGTTCAGATATTGCAACCCTGGATGTTATTGCTACTGGCCAGCGCATTGTAAGTATGATTGCATGGTTATCATTTTTTGTGTTTCGGCGAATGTCGCCATGCCACGCACGTCGAGAGAAGAGGACTCGGGATTCCTGCCCCTGGGTCACGGAACTGTGTTGCCGCGAAGGGCTAGTGCGGTGATTGTTCAATTCAAGAGGATAGCGCCACGTGGCGCAGCTGGGGGTCTGCTCGCAACGTCCCCAGGGTCTAACGTCGCGCACGGGTGCCCGGAGGCGCGCCATGTTTCCGCTTCAATAAAAGGCAGGCGGAACAGGCGCTCGAGATCCGACTCCTTTGTTGCACTGTCGTGTTTCCGCTGCGGCCAGGTGTGCGCTGTCAATGGCCCCTTGTTTTCCAGGCAGACTTTGGGCATCCAATGCTACCGGGGGGACGGAAGAGACGAGGTTGACCTCTGTCGGCGGTGGGGCTTCCTCGGCCCAAGGCTCATGCACAGTCAGCTTGGCCAATCGCCAGCAAGTGCCACTGATGCTGTATGTGTAGGGCTGCCAGCTCAGTCAAAGCATGATGGCGCTTTTTGGCATGCATGATTGCAGCGTCGCATCAACCTCTTGCTCTAATCTAGAGTGTGCAAAGTCTATCTGGATGCTGAGACGTGAGCACGACGCGATGCCAAGTATCTAGGTGCAGTAGAGCAGGGCTGGTGTAGCGCTTGTCCATCGCGTGCCTTTGTCTGTGTCTGCGGGGATCCGGTGGAATGGGCTGCGCATGGTCTTGAAAAGAACAAGAAGAGGAAGAAGCTTCTCGTTCGAAGATCTGCTTCACTAAGCTTGTAGTGTTGCAAAGTAGAAAATCTCCTTGCCGATCTTCCGCCTTCGGGTATGCAGCCCAGACTCTAACGAGCTGAAGAAACTGACAAGTGCAAGCTCATTTCCACACAATGCTGGTTTTGTCATGGTGCTCGGTAGCAGACGAGGACTCGGTATTTGTTGAGCTCCGCGGTCAGTTTGAGTGTCAGTGTAGAATGAAACTGGTGAGGCCACAAGTAAAGGGAGGCCAAAGAGATGAGAGCAAAGGTTTCTACTACAAGGGAAGCGCGTTTGTTGCAACAAAGGACATTCACTGCTGGGGCCGACAGGACGCCAGCAGGGCCGAGTGGGGGAGCGATGATTGGCTGCTTGGACCAGCACTGTGCACTGGGTGACGGGGAAGGCGGGAGGGTTCAGGAGATGGCACGAAATGAGCATACTTGGTGAGGCATGAACAGTGGTTCCGGTGACTGGGTGAACCGAGTGCGGCTCTCGGGTGGTTAGTGCAGCGGCGGCCAATGGTGGAGGCTGCAGACCAGGGATCTGGGAGGGTCAGCGTGCGGCATTTGGGTGGGTAGCCACGTCGTGCGGAAATGCGTGCCGATCGCCAATACGGGTCTAGCAGGGAACCCAGGCAATACCTGGGGGCGGGCCTCTGGGCCTCTCTGGCAGCTGGCGGCCGTGGTGGCGAGAGATGGTGCAGCCAGGTTGACGGAGCAGGGCCGTGACTGGAGCAGCGAGATCAGATGTAACGTGGACAGCGATGTGACCCAAGCCACGTTAGTGCCGTGAGCAGAACAGCGAGGGCGTAAGACGTAATATTGGACATCGTAGTAAGGAAGAGGGGTGGAATTCTAAATAAGACGAGCAGCCGCGATAGGGGCGACGGGGTCATGGAGCGTGCAGGCAAACAGGTCCAGACACACGGACGGGACAATTTCCAGCGCGGTTTCAGCAAACGTGTGGAGGAGGGCATGGAGGTGTGTCGAGCTTGTGTTGCAGCGTGCGGCGGCGAATGCCCAGCAGTGCCTAGCAACGCCTAGCAGTGCCGATCGCGTACAGAGTTGCGCCACGAGCGAGCAGGCGCGGGTGCCAGTGTGTGAGAGAGCGTACGAGGGCGCGTGGTGTCGGGAATAATGGCATCAGGCTTTGATGGCCAGCGGCCAGCAGCCAGCAGCGGGCGCCCCTTTGTTGGAGCGCCAGAGGGTCGAGGACAGCGGGTGGACAGGGCCGGCGGGCGTGGCAGCCAATGGGCGGGCGGCGATGGCTGGGGCAGATTCCAGAAGACTGCTGGCAGCAGAGGCAGACAGGCCGCCGGGGCGCAATGGGGCCAGACAGCGAGGGTGGGTGGGTAGCAGAGGGCAGTAATACAGGCAGCGGGCATGGATGACATGGATGCTTGGCGTGGATGCTGGCTGGCGTCCCGGCCTGCTGGCCTCGCCGCGTCGTAGCGCCATCGTCGACGCCACGGCCTTCCTTATACATAGCACCCTGGCGCCGCCTGCCTCGCCGCCGCCGTACATCCAAGTACATACTACGACATTCATTCACCCAGCACACAGCATCCCGCCCACAATGGCCACCATGTTCCGTCACTTCTCCTTCGACCCCGTCCCCCGCCCGGCCCACGCCGCGTACGAGGCCGAGCGGGCGGCCATGAACGTCTCGCCTACATCGCCCGCCTTGCTTCCACACCACCCAAGCCGCCCGCCCACGCCGCCCTGCACCATGGGCGACCTCGCCCTCCAGCTCAACCACCAGACTCTCCGCATCGACTCCCCTGTCGCCTGTCGCTCCACGCGTCCTCCCACGCCCGACAGCGACTGCGGCAGCGACAGCGACAGCGACAGCGACAGGAGCCCATTGCCCACCACCGAATGCGTCCAGGAACAGCCGCGCCCCACCTACTCGCGCATCTCAGCCTCAATCCTGCGCATGCAGCGCCAGCACACGTCGCGCATGCAGTGCACCTCCTCGCACGCCCGCGACATTTCCAAGCTGGTCCAGATGATCGAGGCTGAGAAGCAGTGCACCGTCAGCCCCCCGTCCTCGTCGACATGTCCGCCCACCGCCGCCTCTGCCCGTGACGAGGCTGTCGACATGGACTACGACCTCCCCGCCAAACGCATCGAGGCAACCATCGCCACCTCAATGTGGAGGGCATCTGATCGCCGAGAGAGCAGCGTCCGCGTCACAAAGACGGTGCGCATGCGCAAGCGTTCTCGAGAGAACGCCGTGTGCAAGTAGTCGGCCTCAAAGTCGACCCTGTTTCTGCATTTCTTTGCATGCATAGCCAAGGCGTTTTGGGTTTTTTTGTTTCACATAACAGGCGCGATATACCACTTGATCTTTGTTGGAACAACCATGGGTATTAGCCCATGAGGCTGCGTCACAAGACGGGCTTAGCGATACGAGTACACGGTACTACTCGTTCTACACACATACATCTATTGCTTCTCTGAAATGCTCCCTGCGGGTTGAGCTGGGCGCTGTAGGATGCGACGAGCCGAGGGCCGTTGCTGCGCTACATCATGTACTTAATTCCATTGCATCATCGCACAACATACATTGCTTGTATTCATGTTGTTTGGCCTTGTGTGTGTGCCAATCAGACTTCAGCCCTACGTTACCCGCATCCTGTGAACCTGTGTCCTGGTAAATTTGTGCCCCACTCTAAACCGCCGCACCGCTGCCAATGCCGAACAACCCTTGGTCTCACCAACACCACCACTCCCACCACCGTCACCGCCGCCGCCGCCATGTCGCTCCGACGAGCCCTGGCCCCGCGCTCCATCCACATACGCATCGTTCCACGCCCAGCCAATCTCTCAGAGAGTCGGGAAATCTACCGTGTGCTGCAAAAGTTTGGCGAACTCGATACCTTCAAGTACCTACGGGTGCGTCCTTCTCGTCCCATCTTGCCTGCGCCGGGCACAATGTCTTGCTCTGCAAAGAAACCGCATCTGACTCCTACTAGTACGAATATCAAAACCCCGCAGACAATGTTGCTCTTGCCATCTACCGCGACGAAAGGTCCGCTCAGCGCGCCCTCGACGCCTCGCCCCTCCGCTTCGCATTGGAAAAAGTCGTCTCGCCCGTCACTATCCACCCATCACAATCCTCTTCCTCGCAAGAAGACGAAGAAGATGGCGGCGACATAGACAGCTTCTCAACCGAGAAAACACAGCCCATCAAAGGCATCGACGAGATCCTGCGCCCCTCGAAGCTCGCGAACCGCTCCTGGCAATCCACATCTACAACCAAGCCAACTTCTAAGCCAACTCCCATGCCCTTCGAGTCCCCAACGCCCCCTGAAGAACAAATTAAACAGTCCAAATGGTTCCAAGTAACCATAGATCGCTCACGAGCTGTACATCAGGATTATATCGAGCGCCAACCCTTCTGGAAACAGTTCAACCCAATGAGGACCATGTCTCAAGAAGATCTGGCAAAGACAGTGCCACATCCAGGGCTGAGCGATATCAGCAAGCGCCCACCCAACGCCCATCGGACGCCCAACCGCGTGCTCAAAGTTATGAATGACTACGTAGAGACCAAAATGCCGACACTGCGAGGAATATTCGAGGGCAGCGAAGCAGATCGCGCCTTCGAACAAAGAAGACAATCCAGCAAACGAGGATTCGACTGAATCCCATATTCTGACAATCTCCTTATGCTTCAGGTAACCAGGCTCCTCCAAGTCTTGCGTAGAGCACGCCAGCCCAAGGCATATTCCAGCCACTTCACTTGTTGGGTTGGCTCGCATGCATACCACCAACTAGCCTTTTGAGAGGACAGAACAAGCCAAGAGACAAAGGACCCGCATTTCCGTCAATACTCATGTTCAATGCCGTGCTTGAGAAATATGGACGGATGACTTGTAGGTAACAGCAACCAAGCCAAGTTATGCACGCAACGTAGAGCACATAGAGCTCGTCCAATACAGGATTCAAGCATCTCACAACGCCGACTTGAGTCGACGATAGTCACAAAGGAAAGGCTAGCCAACAGAGGCTCTATCAAATTATCTGGAATTGCGATAGTACAGTACCACAAAGCACAGTGAAATCACGTCATTTCCAACGGGAGATCAAACGGTAGATTTTCATACCTGGAGCGGCCCGGTCTTCGTATGCGTATTGGGAAATTTGTCCCATAAGCGATCACCCGACAAAGTTCCGCAGCTCATAGAACAAAGACGGACGCTTAGAAAACATGGTGGCTTGCACTTTTGGCCAAGTTGGTGCCGTGCCAAAATCGTCAAATGACTCCATTTCATGCAATGACTAAGAATTGAGAATCTTTTTTTATTTATTTATTTTGGAGATGATCAACCACCCTTGATCACCAATTCTCCAGGAGGCCGCACGGCAATCTCGGTTCTTAGATAGTGGCGCATACCCGCTGATAGTGGGTCAAGGCGGCTGTGCAACCCAATGCACAGCGAGAAAGGCCAAAGACAGTTCCCACCTTGATAATCGTTATCGCCACGGCACTATTCGGCGCCTCAAGCAAGGGTCGTTTAGCACAGACTGCCTGGCGTTTCATAACCCCTTGGCTCCCGAATTGGCGTGAAGCCTTCCCGCGCTGACTGCATCTGAGACATGGTCCCTGGAGGGGTTACAGAGGTACATAGTTGGGCGTATCGTCTGTGACCCTTTGTCAGCATTAGATACCCGCTGTCAAAAGTTCTACTACACTGATGAATGTGGGCGCCTGTTGCGAAGCGTCACACACGCCCACGATATCAGTGGCTCATAATGCTCAGGAGAAGACGGGCCAATGCTGGGCGATCGGCAAGTGCTGTTTGTAGTTTAACGTCGGTTGGCCAATAGCAATGCGCAGGGAGCACAATGACACTAGACGACTCCTTAAATCTTGCCCGGTTGTACTCCAAAGGTCCCATGCTTGCCGAATCTCAAAACGTCCTTCTGACGCTCCCTTGAAAAAGAATCCCCCTCGTTTTTCCTTTTCTCCTCGTGAGAGTCCACTCATTCCATTCCGCGTTCAAAGCGCTCACAGTCATTCTTTGATCCAAACACCACCCTCAGCGCGTCTGGTCTACGCGCGACACCACACTCCTTCGGTACACACTCGCGCATACGATAATCGCAAACATGAAGTCCTTCGCCATTTCTGCAGCCGCAATCATCGCCGGCTTGGTCTCTACGACTACCGCGCAGACGCACTCGGACTGTACGTCGCATCCGGCCCTAACATCAAGCAAGATAGGCGCTAACATTCAAAGGCAACCCGCTCAACACGACAAATTGCCCCGACATGGAAGCTCTCGGCGGCAACGTGACTTTTCTGTGGAACAAGACGGGTATCGTACAGAACGATAAGATCTGGCAGATGCCGAACCAGGGCAAGATCGATTGGGTTGAGAAGGGTGCAACTTTTACCATTGAACGATCGGGCGACTCACCCACTGCCAATTCGGTCTTTTACATGTTCTTCGGGCGTCTCGAAGTCGTCATGAAGGTGGCTACCGGTACCGGAATCATCTCCAGCGCTATCCTGCAGTCTGAGGATCTCGACGAGATTGACTGGGAGTTCATCGGCGACAAGAGCTCGATTCTCACCAACTACTTTGGCAAGGGAGACACCTCGACCTACGACCGTGGCAAAGACTTCGAACTTGACTTTGCCCCACAGGAAGACTTCCACAACTACACTATTGACTGGACCAAGGAACGCATCGAGTGGCTTGTTGACGGTAAGAGTATTAGAAATCTTACATTCGACGAGGCCAAGGGAGGAACCCGCTACCCCCAAACACCCATGAACATCCGAATCGGTGCATGGGCTGCTGGTGACCCAAGCAAGAACGACCCTGGTGTTGTCCAATGGGCTGGCGGTAAAACCGACTTCAGCAAGGGCCCGTACACCATGACCGTCCAGTCAGTGTATGCTCAAGATTACACGAGCGCTGCCAAGTACTCGTGGGAGAACATGGACTCATCTGGTAGCTGGCAGAAGGTCAAGGTCATTGAGTACGTTGTTTTCCCCTCTGCGTCCACTTGCTTGCGGTATGAAACTAACGATCTGCAGGGGAAAGTCTGAAGTTCTTGAGGAAATCCAGTCACCTCACGGCGTCAGGAACCGTTTCACGGCTTTATCCAGCGGTGCCAAGGCCGGCATTGTCATCGGCGCTGTTTCAGCCGTTGCGATTGGCGCTCTTGTTATCCTCTTCTGCTGCATCAAGCAACGCCGCATTGGCAGGAAGGAACACGAGGCCCTTTTGGCTGCGGAGCAAAAGGAGGCCGCCGAGCTGAATGAGTACAAGTCGCAGATGCAGGCTGGCCGGTTTGCCGTCGGCGGCGGTGCCGGTCGCGTTTAGATTGCGCAAAGGCACTGATTGGGAGTTGCGATTGTACAGTCTTTTCATTGAGATGGGTTCTCTTTGCTACCAATGGTTTGTAGTCTCTTGAATTGGAGCTGCGGTTGCCTTGTCATGTTATGGTCACGATATATTTACTTGCTTCGCCTACTCACATACTTATACATATATACCCTTGCTGTAATTTCACCAATATGGCCTTTGCTCTGATTATCTTATCTCTTTTCGACATTGCAACCCCACGACTACTCAGCACCATGTCAAATCTAATCCCAGTGGCCATGCCTGCGAATCGATGACGTCGGTGTGTAGCGGCTCTAGCATGTGATCAACAAAGAGCCCTTCTCCGCAAACCCCGGACATGTGGGCGTGCGGCCTGCGCCGGCTAACTTTGAGCTGCCTCGGCATATTGGCGGTGGTCCATTGCCAACTGGCTTGGGTACAATCGCAACCTGTAGTTCCCATTCTTCCCACACATTTTTTTTGACAATGGCCTCATTCTCACGATCTCTACGACCGCTCACCCGCGTTGCTACGGCTTCGTCGCGTTCGCTGCGACCAGCAGTCCGCCCCGCCCCGCAGTATGTCTTAAATCCACCGAAAAAAAGTGTTCAATATAGCCAAAGCAAAAACTAACGCGATGGCGGGCCAGAATACGATGTCTCTCCTTAACTCCTTCCCGGCGAGAAGCTGTCGATATCTCAGATGTGCCACCGACACCCATCACCCACCTCTCGGAGACCGAGATGCTCATGGGCGATTCGGTGTCCAAGTTTGCCAATGATGTCGTACTGCCCAAGGCCCGAGAGATGGATGAGGCTGAGGCCATGGACCCAGCAGTAGTCGAGCAGCTGTTTGAGCAGGGACTCATGGGCATCGAGATACCCGAAGAGTACGGTGGCTCGGGCATGAACTTCACCTCGGCCATCATTGCCATCGAAGAGCTGGCGCGCGTCGATCCCAGTGTGAGCGTCATGTGCGACGTACACAACACACTGGTCAATACTGCCATTCTCAAGTATGGCTCTGAGAAGCTCAAGAAGGAGTGGTTGCCCAAGTTGGCCACCAACACAGTTGGGTCGTTCTGTCTCTCCGAGCCCATCTCTGGCTCTGATGCCTTTGCACTCGCCACCAAGGCCACGCGAACAGACAATGGCTACAAGATCAACGGCAACAAGATGTGGATTACCAACAGCATGGAAGCAAACTTCTTCATTGTCTTTGCCAATCTCGACCCCAGCAAGAAGTACAAGGGCATCACTGCATTCATTGTCGAAAAGGGCACCCCCGGCTTCTCCATTGCCAAGAAGGAGAAGAAGCTGGGTATTAAAGCCAGCAGCACCTGTGTTCTCAATTTTGACGACGTTGAAATTCCCAAGGACAATTTGCTAGGCAAGGAATTTGAGGGCTACAAATACGCCATTGGACTGCTCAATGAGGGCCGCATTGGTATTGCAGCACAGATGACCGGTCTGGCACTGGGTGCTTGGGAGAACGCAGCAGGGTGAGTCTCATCGTCATGGTCCCAATGTGAGTGGCCACGCGCTAACAGTTATAGCTACGTATGGAACGACCGCAAGCAGTTTGGCCAACTCGTTGGCGAGTTCCAGGGCATGCAACACCAACTCGCCCAAGCCTGGACCGACATTCAAGCTGCTCGCGCCCTTGTCTTCAACGCCGCCCGTAAGAAGGAGGCTGGCGAGGAATTCGTCATGGATGCGGCCATGGCCAAGCTTATGGCATCGCAGGTTGCCGGGCGTGTGTCCGGGCAAGCAGTTGAATGGATGGGCGGAATGGGCTTCGTAAGAGAGGGCCTAGCCGAAAAGTACTTTAGGGACAGCAAGATTGGCGCCATTTACGAGGGAACAAGCAACATCCAGTTGACGACTATTGCGAAGCATTTGCAGAAGAAGTACACCAAGTAGATGATTAGTATGACGGCCAACCTACTAAAAAATGAATTAAAATACTGGCTAGCTTGAAAGCCACGTGGAACATTTTGTTCTTACGCTTCCTTGTATTTTTCCTTTTTTTCTCTACATATTTGTTTTTCGTCCACTCTGCAACGCCAGGGCAGAATGATTTACTAATAGATCGCGGGATCGATTCAAGCATGCTGGGGATCACGAGTGATATCACACCACGGGCAGTGCCCAGTGCTCCTGCGGCAAAACGACATGGTTGACTTCCGCAGTGACGCCGCCGCATCCTCGGACCAAACGACTGCACCATGTTCTTCTCTACTTGCTGTAAGGGGCTATGCACTACTCTAGTTATTAACAACCAACAGTAGCATTAACACCGCATAGCACCACAGAAGCGATGCGAACCATGGTCACTGCGCACATGTGCACATGTTGAGGGGCATGCACATGCGATCTTGTCTCCCCACCCTCGACCCACTTAGGCGCCAGAGATTCGTGGCGGCCAGCCCGGCACGACAGCAACCCAACCGTCCAGGCTTATCCATGCACTTGAGGCGCGCCAATACCCTCGATCGGAAAATATCGCGAAGAACCATGGGTCTGCCGTATGGAACCCCCGGGTTGTATATCGTCATACCTGCGCCTGGCGTGAACTGCTGCTGCCCATCAGGTCAGCTTTTGCTCTTCTCAGTCTCAGGCTGTGTGTATCTCTATTATTCTCAAGATGCTATCTTGTCTTTCTACGTACATGCTCTGATTGAAGTCGATCCCAAATCCCAAAGTCTCTTCATTTCCTTCCCCATTCCTATCACATCCCTGTTTTTTTCCTTGTCCCAGTTCCGCCTCTTGCGTGACGGTGGCCCACAACGCACCACCTTCTTAACCCCATCCGTTCCAGTGTCCCAACGCCATCGCTACCGGCGCTGTCGGAATAGTTCTTCCCCCCAGCCACATTGAACGAAGAGTTTTGGCCGTTATCTGGCATAAGTCGCAACTTGGTCACCTCATGGTCGTGTAACCACCGCCCACGATGGCGTCAGGTTCCAAGGCCAAGGACAAGGACCCTCTAGGTGCCAGCCGCGCGCATTCGGGTCTAGAGGCCATTCTGCCTACTAATTTCCTCGATATGCAAAAATGCGCTGGCAGTCTTCCCAAAGAGAACAAGCCAAAGTCGTCTCCACGCTCGCGGCCATCTGCCACCCCACAGTCCAGCGTGCCACGATCCGTATCGTCCATGTCAAGCAGTTTCATGCAGGAACACTGGGGCCGCTCCTCGTCCTATACTTCCAAACCTGAACACGATGGAGAAGATACCCACAATCCACAGTCCAAGGAGGAAGATGCCCCCCACGTTATAGCCAACTGGGCCCATCTATCTTACATCAAGGCCCAACGTAATACGCTTCGCGCCGAACTGAAGGCACATCAGATTGCGGGCGCTGAGGCAAAGCGGTCAGTGTCATCGTTACGTCGTCTAGCCTTTCGCATGGCCGTTAGTATATCCGTGAAGGAGAAACAGATTGCGACTACTGCCCGGAACCTCGCCAAGAGCAGAACAAACCACTATCTCGAAGGTAAAGATGCACAAAATAGAGTCGAGCAGTTGCAGCGGGCGCTGCGAATCGAAGAAGACCGCAACAAGGAGATTCTCGCAGCATTGGAAAGGGCCTCCATGCTGACACTTCAATGTAAGTTAGCTGCACTCTGGTACTAGCTCTTCTAATCAGTGTCACAGATTCAACCCCCAAGGAAGAGCCACGCCATAATCATGGAAACAGTTTCCTTTCCCCGCCTCCATCTCCACCAACACGCTCGAGTGCTCCTGATAGCCCGTTCGGCTCTCCCAAGACTCCGACACGATCGTCCACAGCTCCATGGCACGATGTCGACTTTCCGCTCACTCCTCGCCTCGGAAGTGCATTCGAGATTCGCACGTCTGACAGTCGCTTGATACGAGCCAAGCGTGAATCAGACCAAGCTCTTGCTGCATGCCGGAGGCGTATAGAACAACTCCAAAGTGAGTGTGCAGAGAGCAAGGAAGATGGAAGGCTTTTGGCAGCGACCAAAGCCGGATTGGAACAGGAGATGCAGCATCACCAATCTCAAATTACTACTCTAGAGCGCTCAAGAAGCAGTTTAGCCAAAGAATTAGAAGCTATCAAGGTGCAGCTGCAAATGGCTGTAGACTCAGAAGAACTCTTGAAACAGAAACTGCAAGACAAGAGTGAAGAGCTCGCAGCATGGGACCAAAAGAATGCAGATATGACGCACACGATTGACCTGCTACAGAAGGAAAAGACTAAGCTAGATGAGCATGTCCGGATGCAGACTAACCAGGTCGAAGAATTCAAGACTCGCACTTCGGTTCTTGAGCAAACGTTACACTCCACACGCGATGAGCTCGAGAACGTCCAGCGTAACGAATTGTCGCTTCGAGAACGCCTTGCAGAGAAGGAGAAGGAGTGTGAAGATTTGCAGAAGAGAATTGACCAAGGGTTGGAAGATATTCGAAACCTCGAGCAGAAAGTTAACACGTACGACGCGGAAGCCGCCGAGCATACCCGGAAGATTGAGATAGGAGGAAATGTCATTGCTCAGTTGCGTGAACAACTGTACAATGTAGAAGCTACGAGCAAGGATGCTCATGGGGCCTCGGCGGACATGAAGAAGGAGTTGGAGCTGTTGCAGGAGAAGCTGCGTACTGAGACTGAGGCACGCGATGGTTTGGCGAACGAACTCGAGGACTTACAGAGTGGAAAGGCTACGGTAGAGAATGAGTTGCGTGCCACTGTAGAAATATTGCACGAGGAAACAAAAGCAAAGGAAGAACTGGAGGCGAAGTTGGAAAACTTGCGCACATCTTACAACGACACGGAAACCAAACTTCAGCAAGCTCTTGAGTGCGTTCAAGCATTAGAGGCAGCTGATGGCGTCGCCCAAACAAAACTTGAGACGCTAAGAGACGAGAAATCCGCACTGGAAGCCAATCTTGAGAATGTACGGCAGCTTGGGGTTAAGCTTGGTGAGAGTGTTCAGATGAAAAACAATGAGCTTGCAGAGATGAAATCGACGAGTGTGAGTTTACAGGAAAAGCTCCGACAGTCACAAAAGCAGAAATCATCACTCCAGAAAGAATTGGAGCACATGCGCAATGCAAAGCAAGAAAGCGATGACCGTCATGCTGCCGAAATGGAGAAGAGCAACGAACATCTCCGAGAACTTGAGGCCTCGATTCTCAACCTCCGATCTGTTCTGGAGTCATCAGAGAAACTAGGAGTGTCTCTTCGCGAAGAGCTTGGCCATCTACGAGAATCCAAAAGGAGTACTGAAGGCGAGCTTGAAGAGGCTCATCGTGTCAAAGCGGAACTTGAGGGTCAAATTTGCGAAGCCCAGTCGCAGCACAGGTCAACGCAGAGCGACCTTGACAGCTTGCAAGCTAAGATTGGAGAATTGGAGAACAACTTGACAGAAGGCCAACAATCCAAGTCGCTCCTTGAAGAACGGTTAGCTGCATCAACTACGGAAGTTAGTGTGCTCAAGGATCGGTTATCAGATCTGGAAGCTGCACTAAAAGACTGTGATGATGCGAGGGCGAAGGCTGAAATAGCTTTGTCGGCTGCGCAGTCAGACGGTGATACGACCGCTTCAAATCTCGCGAATCTTCGCAAACAAGCCCATGACATGGATGTGGCCAGAAATCAACTACAACAAGAACTTGACGAAGCCATCAGCTCCAAATCAGATCTAGAAGTTCAGTTACGCTCTGTGCGGGACGATCTCAAGAAATCTGAATCAGAAGCGAACGGCGTTCAGGTACAGCTATCTACTCTACAAATCCAAATTATGGATCTTCAACAATCGAAACAAAACTCCGAAGAAAGCTTGAATTCTCTTCAAGAATCTCTTTCGGGGCTTGATGAGAAGTTGCAAAGCACGCATTCCCAACTACAAAACGCTCATTCCAAGATCTCACAGCTTGAAACGAGACTGGCATCTAGCGAGGAGGAGCTGGAAGCCATGTGTCGCGCAAAGGCAGCTGTTGAGAAGCGGCTCGAACATGCGCATGCCGATAATGCGCGCCTGGAGGAAGAGCTGAGACTTGCTCGACAAAGCAACGAAGCTATCAGAATTCAACTCGACAACACAGTGGATCTTAACAGCGAGCTGAATGAGAACCTCACTGTAGCTCGCTCAGAGATGGATGAGGCAAACATTCAAAATGCCAAACTTACGTCACAACTGAGGGAAGCCGAAAGAGAATTAGAAAAACTTCGGCAGCTCAAGGGTGATGTAGAAGCGAGGCTAAACAAAGCCGTGGAAGTCTCAGCGAGTACGGAACAAAGTCTTTCTTCGGCTCGTTCTCGACTTGACGAGCTTGAATCGCAGAAATCTTCTCTCAATACCGAACTTGCTCATTCTAGGACAGAGCTAGATGCAGTGCGACAAGCGAGAACGGAGTTGGAAGCTAAAATTGAGGGATCTGAACGCCACAACAAGTCTCTTCAAGAAGATCTATCTGGCATGCATTCACGGGTAGCTGAGCTCGAAGCCAACTGTACCAACGTGATTGCTCAATTGTCGGCAAGTGATCAAGAGTTGAATAGCCTGCGACTGGAGCATGCCAAGCTTGAGGAGTCTTCGCAAAGTACGTCCCATCGGACAAATGAGCTACAACTTGAACTTCGCGCGGCTCAAATGCGTCTCGAAATTGCAGAGTCTGAGAGCTTGGACGCATTCAACAGGTTTCTCGAAGCCGACAAAGAGCTCGTGTCACTTCGCAATACGAACGTCAAACTTGAAGCTTCCGAAAGAGAACTTATCTCACGTCTTGCTTCTGCGGAAGAGGAATTGAAGAATGCGCGTCGGATGAATGCCGACCTCGAGGCCTTCCTTGAAAGTGTTGAGTCAGATATAGCCAACGCCTATTCTGCCGTCGAGGATACCGAGAAGCGCTATCTGGAGTTTGTAGAGGACTCTGAAGCTAAACTTGAGGCTGCAAAAGTCTCCAAGTCACGATACAGGACTCGACTTTGCGATAAGAATAGCGAGCTTGAGACTGTTACTAAAGAGAACTCTGATCTACATCAACAGATTGGCAGCCAAAGCCAGGAGATGGGCGCACTGGAGAAGAGCAAGGATGAGCTGGTTGAAGAATTATCGAAGAAGGAGAAGTATATTGAAGAACTCGGGTCATCAATGGATGAGCGGATGAGATCAATGAATGCCGCGTACAACGACCTCAAGAAGAAGTACGACCAAGAGCACCAACAATTAGGAAGCGACCACGCAAGCACAGTCCGACTAGAAGCTGAACTGGCAAGAAAAACGACAGAACTCGATCAACTCCGCCACGACCAAGAAACCCACACCACCTCCTTCACAGTCCTCCAACAACAACTCGCCTCACTACAAACCGACAAACAAACCTTCGAATCGCTCATCTCCACCCTCCAAGAAAAGCTAAAGCACCTTGAACTCCTCGAAGAATGGTCCACTTCACCCACCACCTCACCCACCCCTCTGCCTGGCACCCATTCCACCGCCCCCTCCACCCCCAAATCCTCCCACCCAACCCACATCAGCACCCCAAACACCAGTCCGCGCCCAGACACCCGCGCAAGCACCGTATCCCGCGACCCCGACGACGTATGGGCCCACCAAGTCGAGCAAGTCCGCCTGCAACGCAGCGAAGCAGCACTCCAACTCCGCGGCCTGAAGACATCGCAGCACCATCTCAAAAAGACGCTGCGAAGCACAGATAAAGAGCTGAATCGGCTGGAAAGAGAGAAGACCAAGCGCAGCCCGAATTTGCTCCGCAAGAGGAGTAGGCCGTTTAGTGCGAATGCGGCTGCATGCAGCGATGTCGAGGGCGTGGCGGACGAGGCGGCGGCAAAGGACAAGAGGAGAATGTCGCATGGCTTGGCCCTTTTGACGCGCCCGAGTACGCATTTTCATGCTGTTGGGAGTGCGGGTGAGGATGGCGGCGAGGCCAAGGGGAAGAGAAGTGCTGGGCGGAGGGTGGTTAGTGTGGGGGATGAGCTGGGTAGGAAGGAGAAGGAGGGGAGGAAGTGGGGTCTTGGGCTTAGGGGGTTGTTTCATCGGGATGCGTAGGAGTTTTTCTTTCTTTTTTCCATTTCCTACCTTTCTTTCTTTCTTTCTTTCGGTCTGTGGGATGGATTGGGTTAGATGGGGTAACTCGAGCTCGCGCTCGGAAGGGTTATAAGTGATATCCAGGTTTATCGGGGGTTTTTTTTTTATTTCTTTTTTTTTCTACTTCTACTTCTTCTTCTCTTTGTAAATGTAAGAGTAGGGAGCTTGTTGTTTGTTAGCAGTGTTGAATAGGGATGGGAGAGGTTCAGGGCTTGGATGTGCTGTTTACCCACTCGCTTGGTTCATTGGGAGAGCTAGATAGGATTGTATTACCGAGGAAATATCTAAGACGGTCTTTACTGCTGCGACGCAAAATGACGTACTCTGTTTGATTGCATGTAAGGTTGAGATGCCCTTTGAGTTGTGGCAGTATTCCGTGGTAAAGACGTTTTGGTCTTCGTAGGCTGATCCCGCTTGTTCTTAATTTCTTTTCTGGGTTGCTGCCGGTTGATCGAGAGTCACTTGATGTGACCAACCGTTGACTTGGCTATTATGGCTCTCTTCCTACTGTTAAACCGAAGTAAGCAGGGTTTTTGTTTTTAGTATTCGTCACGTCACTGAAACACAAGTTCAACAAGACTCTCGATATCTTTTTGCGTAGGTTGATAGTGACAATAGTGAACAAGACATTACATTTCTTCGTGTACAAACGTAATAGTAGTGTTTACTCTAATTAAGTTAGAAAATGCGCACAGCACATATACACTAAGCACTGCATCTCGAACTGAAAGGCTTTAGACATTACTACATGCCCTGACACTGTCTATATTCTTTCCCATCAGCGTGTCATGGCATTTGCTAACCTTCTGTATTCTCGATCTTCAAACCTAGTTGATCAAAATACCCTTTGCCTTTGCCTTTTGGCACTCAGGACCCAGGTTGGGGTCGAGCTTGTTGCCAGCGACCGAGATGTACTGGATCGACTTGCTCGCGCAAAGGTCCTCGGGAACGGTGCCCGTGAGGGAGTTGTACGAGAAATCGACGGCGGTGAGGTTAGGCAGGAGGCCGAAGCCTACGGGGATGGTGCCAGTGAGGTTGTTGGTGGCGAAGCTGAGTCCCTGGAGCGACATAGCTTTTGTCAGACTGCTGGGGATGGGGCCCACGAACTGGTTCTCGAGGAAGCTGGCGGCCTGGAGATTCTTGGCGTCGGCAAACATGTCGGGGATGACGCCGTTGAAGCGGTTCACGCGGACAAAGAGGACCTCGAGGTTGGGTAGGGAAGACATGAGGTTTGAGGGGAGAGGGCCGTTGAACTGGTTGTTGCCGATGTCGAGGTAAAAGAGACCACTGTTGCTGAGTACGTTCAGAGGGAACGAGCCGCTAAATTTGTTCTCACTGATGTCGACTTCATATAGGTATTTGAAGTTCTTAAGATTGGGGACAGAGCCGCTGAAGCTGTTGTTGTTGACATGGATAAGGGCAAGGTCCGGAAAGTTCTCGACGAAGTGGTTCAGCTTGATGTTGCCGGTCAAGTGCAAGTCGTTGAAGTCGATGGAAGCAAGGGTAAGAACACCAGTGTCGGGATTTTGGGCGCAGGTAAATCCTTCCCATTGGCAAACATCGGAGCCCGTCCAGTTGGCGAGGATCTCCTGGGGTCCAGTAACCGTCTTACGGAAGGCGACAGCGGTAGCCAAATCTCGCACCAGATTGGCAGGAAGAGCAGCAGCTTTCTGCGGCTGAACGGGCTGGTGGGGAGCAGCCTGCGCCAGGGCAATTAGGGAGGAGACAATGAGTGACAACATTTTGGAATGCGTGGTTAATGAGAGTGACGACTCGATTGAGTATTAAGTTAACAAAATGAATGACTGTTCGGATCTGGAAGTGCGTATCCTACTCTTTTCTCTGCTCAGCAGTGCGAGCAAGTTATATATGACAGAAGTATATCCCTGAGGTTCCCTGACCAGGTGGGCCATGCTGCGGAGCGTGGTAATAAGCCCGAAATGAGCACCCGAAACGTGCGTCGATCATTCTGATTACTACGCTATGGCGCCCGTTTTTTTGGTAAGTAGGACGCCTTGGCACAGTGCTGACGACATGTAGATGCTAGATGCTGCTCGGACCCTGAGAAGCTCAACTTGAGTATCTCGATCGCTTCTTGTTGGTGATTTACTAATGATGTCTAGTGTGGCCCTTGCTGCCTCAATTTGAGTCCATCTCTTGAACAAGACAACACATGCGTACGTCTTTTGGTCGGACACACAGTACCCGTATAACCAGCCGCTAAGAGCCAGCCCAACGTGAGCAAAGCTGACTGATGTAAGACTACTACGGACCTTGTACATTGCTCGGCGAATTTCATCTAGAAAACTACTTTGGACCTAATCCACCAATGAGAATAACCATATTTTCGACTAGTAGTGTGATCACGTTAAAAGCTCGGATCCTGCGAATGATGAGCATTTGAAACATTCGGTTCGTTACCGACCGAAACACTAATCTGCCCACCAACGTATAATATAGTACGGATCTAATATTTCGGAGCGGGAGCTACGTAGGTAACGGCCCCACATTGTAGTTCATCTTACAAAGTACATGCAAAGTGTGCGATAGTCGATGTCACTTGGTTCTCCACTCGCTTCGTTTCTCCATAAGATGGGTAGGCTAAGTAAGTAAACGCCGGAGAAAGGTCGTGACTGTCAGAAAGCTTGACGCGTGGCTGACATGCGCCGACTTCCCTGCTGTTCTTAGGCGGTAAGAGCAAACATTTGCGTGGTCTGCAACTGTTTGACAGTAGGCTAGCGAAAGAGTTCATACAAACATGTTGTAGCTTATCGAGGTGCAAGGCGGTGCAAGGTAGTGCTTGACGACACAGAATATTTCATCTGGCACTGCCATCGCGCGAAAAGGCTCTTTTAGTCGTTGACAGAGCTTTCGATATGTACATTTGCAAAGCAGTCAGATTGATCGGGTGATGAGCCAAGGGGTACAAAATGGCATAAAAATCACTGTAAAGGGGCCTATGTAAGCATATCGGCAACCAAATGTGGTTAGGCCTGCTGATGATTGGCAAATTACTCGTACGTAAGCGTTAAAACCGGGCTAGTACTAGTAGTATGACCAAGCTTGGCTGATTGCGACGAGCCTTGCTGCATCCCCTTGAGCCAGGAATGCGCTTGTGGGTTTAAACAGCCTCCAAGCCGGGTAATTACTTGAACATGTGAAATTACAAAAACTCTCTTTATGAATTTCTGCCAATAACTCGTCGGGAGATCAATTAAGTATGAACGGGCCGACAATCGGGTGCAGACGGACCAGACACTAACCTTGTGAACGGGCCGTGTACGACAGCCACCGGGTCACACAATGTCATCGGAATATGGTAGAAATCTGAACTTTAGAATCAAAGTGAGTAAATTATCGCTAGTGGTTTCCAATGCACTCTGACAACTTTGCTCAAAATGATCGGTGTAGATGCCCCATTACAGCTCAGATGCACTTGCTGGTGTGGTCTGGATTCAAAAGCCCTTCACGTGCAGTTGATATTACACGTATGGATCTGTTAATTTAACGTGTTCACCATTTTCACCTCTCATATTCTTTGTCGGTCGCTGTTTTACATCGATTTGCATTGCATAAGAGGGGCACAAAAACAGTGAGGCAGAGTGTAGTTGTGTCTTTATGAAACAAAGCTCACATAGCATCGACTGGAGGCATTTCAAGGCATACGCTTTGCATAGAAAGTGTGTGACTGTGGCTATGGCATAGTATGCGTTCTCTTGGGGTGTCCAGCACTTTATAGTCACCCTGTCTATCTTTCAACGTCGTAGCTGGTCCGCTGTGAAGCTACATCGGGTCAACATGTGATATGTGATTGCCGACATTGATTAAACTATAACTAGTAGTCTCTCTAACTTATATCTCTGGTCTCTAATCGTTTTTTTTCTGCGCTGAGAAATTCCCATAGGTCCTTGCCAGGCTAAACTGATTCTGTGCAATTCTTCTTTCGGATCTCTCTGCTGCACATGCCTACGATGTGTTTTGTTTCTTTCTCCAGCCAATTTCCAACACTTTGCAGAACATGCGCCACCAGCTTGACTTTCGTGAACTGATTGTTGAGTAATTGAACTTTGAACGTAATACTGCAGCTGAGAGCTCAGTGAAACCACGGATCCTCCAACAATTCCTTTGCTGTAGGTCTATCCCTTGGGTCCCTCCTCATGATCCTGCAAATGAAGTTTCTATCCCCCATCGTGAGTTCCGGATCTTCAGCCATTGAGAAAGGCTTCAACGATCTATTTTCCTTAAGGTAGGCGCTGAGGAGTATAAAGATACTTTGTCTCTCTTCATCAGCAATGTCCCTATAACTCATAGGGAAAGGGCCAAATATAGATGTTTGCTTAGCCAGAACATGGGAGGGGAATTCTGGGTCATCCACCGAATAATCTTTGGGTAGGAAGATATGCCAGTTTTTTGCTCCATATAAGACTAATAAGCTGCAAGGAATATTTGTTAGTCTTACATCTAGCGAAAACAGTATTGAAGAGACTTACTGTGGCACTAAAAGACCAGATGTCCGTAGCGGTACCCCACCAGAGTTGGAGGTTTGCTTTAGGACTGCGAAAAATTGCTGCACCAATGACGTGACCAATCTCGAGTGAGTCCGCATTTGGGTCAACATGGTATGCGTCTCCACAGTCACTCGGCTTCACTTCGCTGAACCTATTTGTCCCGACTCCATAGTTGACAAGGATGTTATCCAGGTTGACATCTGTAAGTTAGTCAGTCATTTCTTATCCTCTTGAAGATACAACTCTTCTGATCTAACCTGTGTGTAAATAACCTGCTTCATGGAAGGCATTCAATGCTTCAAGAATCCCCTTTGCTACTAACTTGATCTCTGACCTCTCCAAATTTTTCATATTCGAGGTGCGTTGTCCCGGAGAAACTTCAAGACCAGAGCTGGAGGCTCTTCGATCTGGTCAAGTAATGGTCGAATGTTTGGGCAATGCTGAAACAGGTTCAGCGTCTCCCTTTCATTGTTGAGGCGTTTTATAGGTGCGGTCTTGATGACAACAGTTCCTGTGTTTATGCTGCTTCTCAGGTTAGTATTGTTGAACCACTGTTAAGCCTTGTGCTTACCTGGCAGTCCAAAAATTCTTATGTAGACTCTTCAGAACTGTATACGTTCCCAGAAGACCCTGCAAATATCCAATCTTGAGTGTCGTGCCTATATCTCCCAGAGGTCTTATTTGCCTTGTGGAGTGCAAGAAATGGAGGCGGGCCTACTGCCTTGACGCTATTCCACCATGGACATTTCTGGTATATTGGCATGACTGCGGCCAGTGAAAGCAGAAATTTCTTAGCGGCATTCATATCGCGTTTGTTTGTGCTCGAAACACCTCCAAAAATAATGGTAAGATCATACAAGATCTGTTGAATTTCTGCCAAATAATCGCTTCCTTGTCAGCGCGCATAGGGACCTCATCGTTTTCTACACCTGAACAACCTCAATCGTGTCATGAATGCTTAGAGATGTTAACCCTTTGAGGTCCTTCCTTAGCATTGATACTCATAATATTTTGGCTACCGCTGGTCACTATGTCTTCTGAATCAGTTGAGCCAGATCAGTCATCGTCGTTTTCCACCTACCATCACCCAATATGGCTAGGCTCTCTAGATCCCTGTTGTCATATGGAACCGGACAATGATCTCACAAGCATCTTATCCAACCCATCTCCTACAATCCATTTGCCTATTCACCCAACTTTGCGGCTAAGTTGGGGAGATACCTAGTATACGAAGCCCTCAACACTACGGTTAGTGGAGAACGCCAGTTAGCGAAGATACTACAAACTCTCTAAAGGTTCAGAAGAATATACCAGCCGATGCAAGGACATGACATCATTAACTTTAGCCGAGCGATAGCAGTAAGCGACTTCGTACAGGCCACTGCAACCATGGCAAGGGCGCTACATCTCAACAGGAAAATTACCCGATTCGTACTATGCTATTTACATGTTCAGATACATCAATAAAAGGCACTAAGGAAGGATATGCAGAATGAATGCGCTCAATGTTATTAAAACACAACCCCGCACCCGACCGGGAGATACAGAACTCGATATTTCCTCCTTCACTTGCAAAAACCATTTGAAACAATGGAACCTAACTCGACTACGATCAAGCTCATGCAGCTCGAGGCGCTCATGCATTCTGCGCTAGCTACGCTGGGAGCATCAAGCGGAGATTACAAAAACTCTCTTCCCCCTAGAGCGCTATTCGATGCCCAAAGAACGATTCTCGCTGCAGTTGGTATGATCACTGAGCTTGTGAGCACGCCGAGCGTGCGTCTTTTAGAAGTATCGATGCAATATTTCGAGGCACGAGCTTTACACATAGCAGCTGAGAAACGAATCCCAGACATGCTGGCTGGCCATGATGAGAATGGTGTCGCAGTCAAGGAGCTGGCAGAGCAAGCAGGTTGCGACGCTCTAAAATTATGTTAGTATCGCCGATATATGTGGAAGGCCCCGGTCGTGTGTATTAACTTTTGCATAATCGCAGCTCGAATTATGCGTTGTCTGTGCTCCATACACATCTTCAAGGAGGTCCAGCCCGACCGGTTTGCGAATAACGAAGTCTCAGCTGCTTTGGTAAAAAACGAGCCTCTCAGGGCATATATTGTGATGTTGTATGTCTCTTTGGGCCCCCATAAGAAGAAAACGCGCTGAATATTCATTTAAAGCGCATTCGATCTGTACTCTGCTTCGGATCATTTACCTAGATCACTTTTCGATAAGAAAACCGGCCCTTCTTACAATGTCGCAGAGACTGCCTTCCAAAAGGCTTTAGGCACCCACAAGCCAAGATGGGAGTGGTTCGAAGAAAAGATCACCGTGCAAAATTTACAGGACGGCCGTTGCGGGACCGACGGGGGTCAAAGCGGATATCCTGGTCCTTTCGGATCCGAGCTGAACAAGGCAGTGGAAGGCAAGGCTGGCTCTGAGCTGATAGTTCGACCGGAATTGCCCATCTTTGGTCTAGCAATGGTTGGAGGAGGTAGAGTCCTTGGGAAGGCTCATTTCTATGGTGCGTGTCTCAAATAATGGCGAGGATTTGCAACAGCTAACAATATGGCTAGACTATCCTTGGGAGTCACTGGGCTCTGCTCGCGTGGTCGATGTGGGAGGAGGCGTTGGCGGATTCTGTCTCCAACTTTCGCAGGTCTACCCGCAATTGCAATTTGTCATACAAGATCGCGCACCAGCGCTAGAGCAGGCAGAGACAGTAATCTGGCCTAAAGAAAATCCTGAAGCTATTGCACAAGAGAGGGTACAGTTCTGTCCACACGACTTTTTCGAACCAAACCCGGTAAAAGAAGCCGAAGTGTATTGGCTTAGATATATCATGCACGATTGGTCAGACGAATACTGCATTCGCATTCTGAAAGCCATCAAGCCTAGTATGGGACCACGATCACGAATTCTGATCTGTGATCAGGTCATGAACACAACGCTGGGTTCGGAAGAACTCACTGCTGCACCCTCTCCTTTGCCTGCTAACTGGGTAAGTTGATAACCTAACTATGTAAGTGCAAATAACACTGACTTGATAGGGATATTACACGCGTTACTCGCATCAACGCGACCTCGCGCTGATGGCAGCGATAAACGGCATTGAACGCACACCTCGTGAATTCCGTACTATTGTTGAGAAATCGGGGTTAAAGCTTCTCAAGATATGGGATTGCCGTAGTCAGGTCTCATTAGTAGAGGTTGTACTACCGGAATCAGAGCTTTTGTAAAGAAGAAGAGTCGAAAGAAGACAAAAGGAAAAAAAAGCATGAGACTACCGACTACGGGATGAAAGGTAGGGCCATTGTTGGGGGACCAATAGCTCCATCCTGGAATGGGAATGAGACTTCTTGGTCAGAACCCTTCAATGTATAGCTCTTAGCTATGGATGTATCATTTTTACATATGTTTTCGTGTTCAACTTGTTTGAGCACTTTCAGCCCTACATGAAATCCTTCAAAATGAGACACTCGAATGCACTTCCAATACTAGTAATCACAAGCCCATTTTTTTATGATTCAACCATCTTCCAGATCGACGAGAATAATGCTGTCAGTCTGGAAGCGCAGACACAGATACACAAGCCGACTTCTTATTATCGTCAACGACACCACGTAACATCACCGAGCATTCACATCTCATATTCTTCACTCGCGAATAATTGCCCTACTCGGTTCAAAACCCCTCTAACTGTGGCAGCACTAAATTTTTGAGCTTCTCAAGTCCATCTCTGGGCCCTAACCCCCAAATCTCGTATCGACATCCACCAATTTCCCTCTCTCGGTCCCCACCACAAACAACAAACCACGTCACAGCACTACTCCGCATCTCCTCGCCCCATTCCACCTCACCGCCTTCCCCATCCACTCGCTCCTTTGCCCAAAAACACAAACACAACACCCTGGCATCTTGTCAAGAAGAGAAAGAAGCAGACCCGGACAGCGGGGCCACCGACCACATCGAGACCCTGCCGCATCATGCCCTACATGTCACAAGCACATCCTCCCCACCCAATCCCCCATGACCATCTTAAACCCCTGCCTCCTACACATATATGTACATATGTACATATGTGCATACTTGTTTGGCCCCCACATGCCAATCCTCCCCCACGTTACGCAAAAAAACTGTTTTTGGGGCCGCTCAACGGGTGTGGGGCTGCTGGTACTGCTGCTGCCGTGTCACCGTGGCACAGGCGCGGTGGTAGGTCAGCAGGTTATGTGGCATGGGGTCCGTCCGCAGAGGGCAGGAATGTAGCGCAGTGAGAGAAAGGGCCCATTTATTCTGTTTTGTTGTGCACCCGTTGAGTGGCTGCGGCGTCTGGGGGGTGCGTGATGCTAGGGGAAGGGGGAGGTGAGAGGCTGGCTGCATGTTTCTGTGGATTGGGCCGGGGTGGGCATGGGAGCGTTCTGTTTGCATGTTGGGGCGTATGTGGTTGGGGAGGAGAAAAGGGTGGGGGAAAATGACCTTTGTGAATGTCGTGGCTGGGGATGGACGAGGGGCTTTGGTTGGGATTTTGCTATGGTATGCTACCTTTTCGCCTGGTACTTTGTTCATCGTGAATTTGATGCCAGAGTATTTGTTAGATGTTAGGTGACTTGGGATTTATCAAGTCCAAAAAAACAGTCAGCGAATCACTGACGCGGAACATCTGAATACAACTGATGATTATCATTACTCTCTACCAGTCATATCTGCATATGATCAATCGACACAAAAGTATCTGATACATAATTGTTCGTGTTTCATATCGAGATGTGCATGCGCAATCCAGCCGATATACACAACAAGCGTGTCTGAATGTTGATAAAAAAAAAGACTTTTGCAAAAGGAGTGGCCCTGGCGTTATGTCTCTTTCCCGAGAAGAGATTGAGTAAAAATGCTAGTTTATGCGCGAATAAAAAGAGATGTCCGCGAGCGTAATGAAAATAAGATGTGGTTGAAAAGAAGAAGAAAATATGCTGGAAGCAGACAGAAGTTGCAGAAAGCATGTATGGTACATGTTGATTGAGTATAAATGAAATGAAAACGACAAAGGTAATAGAAAATTCAAGTAAGAAGATCTGGCAGTGTCTGTCGATTGTCGGAAGGGAGGTGGCGGTCCGCTTTCACTGAGGCCGAGAATACCAGGAATTCAAGTTTGTGCTTTCTGAGGCGCTTCTTCTGACTCAATCTGGGTGGAAATTTGATATCGGACAATCAAGCCCAAGCTTGATCCGAAAAAACTCGCCAACCCCCGATCAGCAGTAGTGGATGTGGACTCAGGGAGCATCGCAAAAATCAATAGGCTCGATTCATCCAAATAAGCGCAAAAGATTAGGCGTCGTTAGTAGGTGGCTTTCAGGCTACCTACAGAAGTGCGTTGCAACCGCGTGTTTCGGCCATGACATGTGTCACGATGGGGTTTGCGGCTGCTGGATGAGTTCTGAGGTGGTGAGTGATTCAACGGATTATAACGATGACTAGTGCCTAACGGGTGATTGCTCGGCAAGTCACCAACCGTGGAGCTCCGCTTCGCTGAATGCTTGTTTTCAAAGCCGTAAATATTAGATTGAAGATCTCCTGGTGCAATCTGGCGACTTCCACGGACACAAGAATACGCGGTGGCTTGTGCAGATGCGCTCATTCCATCGAGAAGACCCGGGGTGCTGAAGGCCAACTCAAGCTGAGGACCCGTGCTTGTTGTGGCTATGTCCCCCGTGGTGGGAAAGTAGCCGGTTGGGTTTTCTGTGCTATCATGCAGTCTGGGTTGAGCAATGACTTGTTTTGCATCGTTTGTTGGAGACACCCCTGAAACATTTGCTTGATTGCCTCCCTCAACTACCCAAGGTATCGGCGGTCTTGAAAAAGATCCCTTGTTATCGATGACAGAAGAGCTGCTTACCCGAGCAGATCGGAGACGTTCGTCTTGTGATTTATCTACAGCGTTACGACTGGATTGAGCTGGATTAGGCTGTGGCATTGGTAGATGTCTCCGAGTGACGCTGGGCTCTGGTGGGTGTGTTTGTCGGGGACGAGGTCTTTCGGGGAGAGACAGCTGGAGAGATGACATGCTAGCGTCTAGGGGAGAAATGTCTGGCGGAGTGACCCGGCCATTTGAAGTGGCACAGGGCAGACCGTTGAATGATTCTTGGTCGAAGCATGCACCCCCCAGAGATCTCGCCTCTGGATCAATTCCTCGATATGAGGACCCGTACATGCTTGCGTTTGCCATCGGTGCCGTGTTTGGTATAAATCCTGGTGACTGTTCCAGGTTGAATGCTTCCACAGGCGAGGCATCTTCGGGAAACGGAACAGTCCAAGCTGGGGCATACGTTGATTTAGTGTCGATTGTTGGGTATTGCGAGTACTGAATGGGCATTGCACGCTGATACAGGGAGCTGTTGCCTCCTGACTGATACACAGGCATCATCTGTGGTGCACCCGCCAGGCTGCTCAAGTTGTGGGCCATGTTGATATTATCCATGACTTTGTGAACGACATCAGACCCCACCTGCCATTGTTAGCGCGAATTCAAGGAATTTCAAAACCTAAGTACTTACCCGATGAAACTGGCAATTTATTGACTCAACGCCAGCTGCCCGGCAGTTGAGACAACCAGACCCATTGCCTGGATCACCGCTGCACCGAATCTTTCTCTTACGGCAACGTGCACACTGTGCTCAATATCAGCAATCTGATGTCACAGAATGTTTCATAGAAAGATATGTAACAGCTTCTTTCAGTCGCATGCGGACCAGGTAAGAATGCTCTGTATCTGTGCCTGACTTACCGCTACTGCAATACGACGTCTTACAGGACCAGATTCTACCATGTGGTCCTCTCCACCCAGCATGGCTCGTGTGTGCATGCCACCAACTGGGCCACCGACAGGGTAGCTGCGAGGATTCTCTCGTGTGTTGTGACTCAGTGTTAACGGAGCATGGCGGTCGTCGTAGATGTAGGTCTGGCATGAAATATTGTGCGATAGGCAATGACGCTGGCCTTCGTACTCCATGAATGATATGGACATGGGCCTTACTGATGGGGTTAGCTGAATCGAAACTTTCAGAGATAAGCTCCTAAACTTACAAAAGAGGGAATTTGACACGTTTGTTCTTTGAGGAGGTATCTTGGGGCTCTGTCAGAGGAGACTGTGGGCTATGGCTAGATCAGAGCGAATCGGCTGAACTGTCAATGTCTAGAACATGAATGTTACTCAACGGCAGAGAAGAGACAACCAGTGAGCGCGTTATACAACAAACGACTAGAGGGGCGAATTTTATAGCTCAGAAGAGCAGTAGATCCAGTCTCAGCGAAACTGAAATATAGAGTCAACCGCGTGGCTAGAGATGTAGCAGAATTGACGTGGCAGTATTACTGCGAATGAGTCTTTTTCAAACATGAAATTTGGGATTTCAGCGACCACCGAGTTTTCTAATCTGTTGGATTGCTTGACGATGTCAACAGCGGCATGACAGTTTTGCGGGAACCTGCATGCATAGTGACCGCTCTGTCAACAGGGGTTATGAAGCACGTATCTCAAAAAGAGCACTGTCAAGACGCCGCGGAGAATGAAAATGGGTAAACCACCGTACGCTAGGTTGGGTATCGACCACAAGCCTTGGGTCCGACGAAACGTTCCAACTAAGGGGAATATAGTCGGATAGCCTCTATCCAGGAGCATTATATGGAGACAACTGAGAGGCGTCAATACCCCAGCGAGGCCATCAATCATATGTGTACACTAGGCACTGCATAGTATCTCAAAAGGGTTGTCGATTGTTTATAGGCTGCATAGTACCACCGCGGAAGCGGGACATACGGCAAGGAGGTGAGGCCACCTTCGCATAATAGTCGCTTAATGAAAGCCTGCAAACTTTACTACGGCCTGGAAAGGAGTAGATATTGGGAAGAATGGAGAGGCTAATTCCACAAGGATGTTGAATCGCCAGAACAGATACATGGCGTTATTGACTACGCTTGTTTTCAAGGAGCCGGATAAAACACCCAAACTCGATTATTCACAAAACGGTCAATTTTATTATGGGAAATAATGTCTCGTTATTGGAATGTCTCGGAAAAGACGCTTTGTCCCCAGGGTTTGAGCAAAAACTACACGAATGTGTAACCTGCCTTCGGTGTTTGCCCCGTTCTCAACCAGCGACCCTCCCTGATGATCGCCAGAGTCGTAGCCATGACTTTGCAGTTCAGCCTAGTCATGGAAAATACCGGCACTTCGTCTGATAACTTAAGGCTGGACGGATATACGGGGAACGCCGGCAGGAAATTTCCGGCGGAGTCTATGCCCGATTCAGATGGCGATAAATAATACAATCACCCTTAATGAAAACCTTAGCTTCGTGATCGCTACAGCAAAACGTATCTGGATAAAATTATAGATGCGTCTCTGATGTGGTACATCTTTAATGCAGAACACAGCGGCACTGTGGACTTGGCCCAAGCTGAATGGATGTAAAATGCGGTGTCGCCGATCGTAAGAGGGCGCACGATAACAATATGTACATTGACCAAGAGATACCATGCTGGTGCTGAAAAGACGAGCGCGTCGATTGTATGATCTCACTAGGCGATGGACCAATAGACTGGTAGATTTGTGTGCCAAGAGGCGAGCAAACTTTGATATGCCATGTTCAAAGGCAAGACTTTGCGGTGAGACGATCACTCATCGATCGAAAACGTCGGAAATTTGCTGGTTTGGATTCTCTCTGGCCTTTGAACCCCGGTTGCACAACCGTGGTAACTTTGGCTATCTATTCGATTTTTCTTAGTGTCACGGCCGTGAAATGACGAAAAGGTTACAGGACTCGTGGGTCTCCCATTGCTGCATATCCCCGGATGAAGCAGTTCTAGAGTCCGAATAAGTGATGTGACGTGACGATGCCCCCATCCTTGCAGGAATAGTGTTACTGCGTTGGGAATTGTCCACTATTGTGTCCCACGGATAGGCATGGAATCACGTCTATGCTCTCGGCAAGACATGGTCACAGTAGGCGAGGGATTGACAAGAGATACTGGGCATTTGCCAGTTTTCGAAAGAAAAGAATTGTTGGGACAGTCTGCATTACAAAGCTTCAATTAGTTAGAGGAAGAAAAGAGAGATACATGAGTACCCACATCCAGGATCCAACGGCTACCGGGAAGTGATGACGCGCAGCAAGTGATCGGCTGTCGGTAAACCATGATGTTTTTCGTCTAATAGATACCATTGGCATGGCGGATCCGGGGAATTCGGATTGATGTGCATAACATGCAACCAAGCGGCTTGCCTATGGCGGGACAAGGATCGCTGGGCACAACAATTAGAAGGCGGGTGACACTCAACGGGCCGCCTCTCACAAGAACCCCACGCTCTCCCTGAAATATCTTGATGCTTTTAGACTGTCCCCCGGACAGCAGTAATATGGTACATTGCCCTCCCGATATCAAAATCGTGCTGTCAGTCTGGCAGTGGTTGCATGTTACGGCTGCATCTAAAGTTGCTCTTGGAAAGAGTCTCGAATAGAAATATGAACACATCAGGCAATATATCAAAGCATATCAAGCATTTTGGAACGCATTTGCCCACAACGATGAAATTGAAAGTGTACAAACATCAAGGTTCAAGTAGAGAAAACAAACCCTCCGTACCTGGAGCTAGGCCCTTTCAGGCAATACGTCATAGTGACTAAGCAGTCACGCTGTCGCAATCCCGAATCTGTCGCGTTCAACTCCCACTTTTGCGACAAACACTGGTTCTCCGCACAACATAGCCCAAGCCATGTCTGTGCTTCTAGAAACATCACTTGGGGATATCACCATCGACTTGTTGGTGGACGATGCGCCGAGATGTTGTGAAAAGTAAGTCTATCCAATCCCCACGCGCGCCTCGCGTTCTTTGACCTGCATCCTGCATGCTCTATCCCGCTGTCTTCCCAAGCTGAGCACACACAACAGATACTGACAGCTTGTCGCCTTAGCTTCCTCAAGCTATGCAAAGTAAAGTATTACAACTTTGCGCCCGTGCATAGCGTCCAGCCAAACTTCTCTTTCCAAACCGGCGACCCCATCGGCCCTGGTGCCAAAGACAGCGATGGCGGTCGTTCGATATGGGGCCTGCTCGACCCCTCGCAACCCGCAAAGAAGACGTTCATTCCAGACTTCAACCCAAAGCTCAAGCACACGGAGATGGGCACAGTCAGCATGGCAACAGCACCAAACCCAGACGACCCCGATGAGCGATTTGCTGGTAGCCAATTTATTGTGACGCTGGGGCCAAACATTGACTATCTCAATGGCAAGGCCGCCATTTTTGGGACAGTCGTCGAGGGATTTGATACGTTGGAAAAAATCAACACAGCATACGTCGACGACCAGGGTCAGCCACTCAAAGACATTCGCATATTGCATACAGTCGTTCTCGACGATCCATACGATGATCCCGCTGGCCTTGTTGAGCCACCCGAAAGCCCCGCACCCTCAGCAGCGCAACTCGCTACAGTCCGTGTCGCCTACGATGAGAATCTCGAGGAGGAAAACGATCCAGAAGCGCTCGAAAAGATCCGTCGAGAACGTGAGGCGCGCGCGCAAGCTCTCACGCTGGAAATGGTTGGCGATCTGCCATTTGCCGAAGTTGCACCGCCTGAAAACGTGCTGTTTGTGTGCAAGTTGAATCCTGTGACACAAGACGAGGATCTAGAACTCATCTTTTCGCGATTTGGCAAGATTCTTAGTTGCGAAGTCATTAGAGATAAGCGCACAGGTGACAGCCTGCAATACGCCTTTATCGAATACGCCAATCAGAAAGACTGTGAACAGGCGTATTTCAAGATGGACGGTGTCTTGATCGATGATCACCGCATACATGTCGACTTTTCACAATCAGTCTCAAAGATTGCAGATGATTGGCGAGACGTGACAAACAAGAAGAGGAGACGAGCTGCGGGTGGATTTGGTGGTATCGACAATCTTGAGAGGAAGAGACAGTACCGTGACGGTCCCGGGCGCCAAATCATGTCTGACTCGGTTGTCAATAACTTGGTTGCTGATTCCGATCCACCCAAAGACGCAGCACCACGGACCCGTGATACCAGCAGAGATGTGCGGAGAGACGACACACGAAGGCGCGAACGAAGAACAGAATACCACGATGATCGCTTCAAGCGCAACCGCAGCCGCAGCCCTAAACGCGACCGTAGGGATGGCGATGATGGCAGATATCACGACCGGAGACGAGAGCGAAGCCGCAGTCCCGACCGTCGGCGTGATAACCGTCGTGACAGGAGCCGGGATCGCTATCGTCGCGACGATCGTGACCGCGACCGTCGACGATGAGAATTTGTTGTTTCAGATGCCTTTTTTTTCAGCGTTCAATTTGGCACGCATGCTAGCGAGAGAAGTGGGACTTTAATGTAACATCCAATGTTCCATATTCAAATAGTTCAGAATATGCAATTCTCAGGTGCTGGGGACGCCAATACTACTGGGGCTGGTTTCTAAGGCTTCAAAGTGCGAATCCTTCGCTCCAAGTGTGTGCAGTCTTGTGTATCGTTGTACGTTGTTCGAGACTCTGGGTCCGGAACACACTCATTCACTGCTTTTACAAACTCTGACATAGTTCGTCTTTTTTTTCTCTTTCCAAATCTTGTAACGCAAATCATTCGTGGCATTTGTGCTCTAACATTAATTCGTCGTTACATTCATCATGTGCACATGCATGATCGACAACAACACATACAAAGACAAATAGGATAACTAATCGAAATCTTTCACGTCTAAAACTAGCCTGCAACCCATACGTGTTTAATCATGTAATCATTAGAAAAGAGAGAGGGGGAGAAAAACTCGACTACAAGACGAAAAAAAGGGGGTTCAAGAGTCATCCAAGAAAGAAACGCCGTATCCAGCCCTCGCAATGCATAAATCCCAACCAAAGAAACAAACGCCCAAATCCATTAACTTTCCCTCATTTTCCCAACCAAAGAAACAGAAACCCCAGCGCCGCGCCATTATGCTAATGAATGGGGAAAAAACAGAGAACGGAGGGGGAGAAATTTGCCATGATCCAGCTCTTGCTTTCACAAATTACTTCAGTTGACGTCCATACCATCATCTTCTGCCTCCTCAATATCATCATCTTCACCACCCGTCAGCACACCCGTGCTACCTAAACTGCGTTTGCGATTACTCCCGTTATACGAGCGGCCCGTGATCTGGGATAGGAGATCCAAATCGTCGCCACCAACAATGCGGGCTTCGGGAGTGGCTTCGCAGCTCAACTCAATAAGGCTTGCGGGGCTGAGATTGCGGTAGCCAGCGGTGCGGACGACACGGCCAAAGTTTTGCATGCAAAAGGTAGCTGCGCGTTGCTTGAGCCAGTCTTCGCCGGCGGTAGCGGCACGCTCCCATATTATGGCTGCATGTTCAATGTCCAGCTCTCGGCCTAAGCGATTGACACAGAGTAGGCGGAGGCGAGGCATGTCGTAGATGTTGGACATGACGAGCATTCCGGCAACATCGTTCAGCGTCGGGCCGTTTTGTGGGTTAGGTGCAATGCTGTCGGTATAGAGGTAGAACAAGAAAGCGCGGACTGCAGAATAGGGTTCGGGGATATGCATCTTTTTCGAGTGGAATTCGGCCATCTGTGCATTCCACAAACGCGCAAAATGTGGCCAGCGAGCATGCAAAATGAGCTTGTGAACGTGTATTGGGCGTGAAGTAGGTGCGATAGCAGTCGATGAACCGTTGGAATCAGCTGCGGCAATATCGCTGTAGTCATCATCATCGGGGTCTGCAGTGATTATAAAATCTGCCCCGCTGCCGCTCTCAGGTGGTTGATCGAAAGTCAAGGATAGGTCCGCACCAATCCCACTGAGGTGAGACGAGACGTTGGCGTCGGAAGAGGGCATCATCTTGGAGCGTGTGTCAGAGGCCAGCTCGTTACCCAGGATTCCGTATTTGCGAAGGTCAATGGCAAGTACGTCGCTGAGATATTCGCCGTTGTGGTTTCCATCATTCGCCGACTCAATTGGGCTGCCTAATAGCCAGGCGTGTGTACCTTCGGGATTCATTGTGCAATAGTGCCAGCGGTAATTTGGGCTGTATAAATCCTTTCCCTCGGCTAGCTTTTGCCATCGTAACGAGTCGAGCTCGAGGCTAGAAAGGCTGGTCTCGCAGCTCAGCTCAGCGGGTGTGACAAAGTCCAGCATGCAACCAGATGAAAAAAGGTGGAAATGTGTGCCCGCCGCTTGTGAGGGCAGGTTCGGGCTAGAATGGAACTTGAGCGAAGATATGGATCCTGGCGCAACGTATGGTGAGCGACTGGAGCTCATTCCATGGTAAGACTGGACGCTTGAGTTGGCGGTATAACCCGTACTACCAGTGGCGAGTTGACCTGAAGCCGGCACGGGATAGCGATGGCGAGATGAGGTGAGTTGTCGATCGCCAGTCCCGTACTTCATTGCGTGCTCAAATTCGGGGCTCCCTCTGAGATCGAGCCACCAAATCTCATTATTCTTCTCCATCTCATCATTGATTCCGCCAAAGATCCAGATGCGGCCATTCCAGATCCAGCTGGCATGGTCGTATCGAGGGACGAACCTCCATGTTCGTGACCAAGTCCATGTCTTCAAGTCCAAGTAGCAGATGTCATCCAAGACACTATCGTGCCCGGTCTGGCCACCGCTGATGTACAGCTTATCATCGTAGATTACTGCAGAGTGTCGAGCGCGACCGCGGGGTATGGGGCCGTTCAATTCCGGTTGTGTCCAATGAGCGGTTTTGAGATCGAAGACAATGACGTCGGCAAGATGCTGGCGATGCTCGTTCTCACCGCCAAATACGAGAAGCTTATTGCCCTGCCAAAGACATGCGGTGTGCCCTATATCGAGATGTGAGACAATGGCTAATGCGGAAGCAAAGGAAGAGAAGCCTACCCATCCGAACTCCTGGGATATCACCATAGTTGTCGACCAGATTCCATTGCCGGGTAACGAGATTGAGACGTAGGACGTGGTTGTATACTAGGAAAAAAAGTTAGCACCGAGTCCCCATGCTGCTTGCGCACCCGCAAACCTGCATATGCAAGATTTTCGGACCCGAAATTGTCGCTAGATATCCAACGCACCTTCGTCTGTGTATTGATCAAAGCCTCCGAAAGCATATATTTGGTCGTCACCAACGTAGGTGACTGAGGCATTGACGAGGCAGGCGGGCTTGGCACCAATGGTTGAGATCATCTTTGGTTTGTAGCCGTCTACAGCTGACCTGCGGCTTCTCACGGGACTTGCGGACATGAGAAAGGTGTTGTTACTCGATCCGGCGGATCCTGGCGTGGGCGTGTGCGAGTGGGAGAGGGCGGGTGAGGGAGCAGAGGTGGTGGCGGGAGTGAGGGTGGTAGGCGGGAAGGCGGATCGAGAGCCTTGGTGAGCCATGGATAGTGAGTGAGGATCAGTGGGTGGTGAATGTGTGGTAAAGGCCCGCGTGGGCAGGAGACTCCTTTGTCCCTACGTAGAGTGCTAGAATGTTTGACCAGGTTGGGTTGGCTAGCCGTGCATACTGCCGCCCGACACCGCCTGCACTGGAAACGGAAGCGCCGACCCACCAAAGACACGACTCAGCCCTGCGACTCACACGGAAGGAATGGCGGCGCAGGCAATCCTTCTCAGCCACAGCACAGGGAGCAGAAGGAGAAAACCACAAGGACGGGGCGGAGAAAGCGTGTGCAGAGCTGCAGGGAGTGGTAATATGTATGTAAGCCGTGCAGACGGGAAGAAGGCAGTGCGGGCAATTTAGGGTCGAGATTGGAGGGGATGCGTCACAGGCCAGCGGCAAAGCGAGCGAGCGACATCACGACATGCAGAGCAGACCGCCTTGATGTGCAGCAGCCAGGGTGGTGCGCATTCACGGTCATTTCCGCACGCCGTGGCTCCGCCGGTCATGTGATGTCATCTGGCCTCCGTTGCCCAGTCGCGCCAGCACAGGGTCTCGCTTGCCGTTGCCTCGTCGACGCAAGCGTAAACAAAGGATACTTAAACGCCCCCCATACCTGCCCCCATACATGTCCACTACCACACACGCTCTACCACTCTCCTCTGCCCTGTATTGCATCTTCAGGCTGCACATCAGTCAACTACTTTCGAATCCATACTTCAAAAGCATCGATTACAGCATTGTATAATACTAATCCTTACAACCACACAGCAAGCCCCAAAAGCCCATACTGTAGGACTACCATTCCGGATATGGATGATGAACACCTAGCTAACCCACTAGTCCAGCTCGAGATTAGCAGTCATGGCAACTCCAGCAGTTTGCTTGACTCCAGTCAAGAAGACCTCTTCCGTCTTCAACACTCGCACCGCTGGCGGTCGCATGCCACTGACTCCCTCTCCCCGCACCCCACGAACACAGACGCCTGATGCCCACACACAAGAGTCTATCCATGGCGGCAACTTCATGGCCCGCCTCCAACGCTCCGTCACCAAGACTACCCGTGACTCTCCCAAATCCAACATTGCTCGATCACACACTCCCCGCCGGTTAGAGCTCGGTGTATCAGAATGGTCCCTCTCCGGAACCGGCACTGCCGCTGCTACCAAGGCTGCCACTAAGGCAAAGAAGGAGAAGAAGGAAGCCACGACCGTCCGCGCTCGCCCAACCAAGACCCGCATCGCATACAACTCTGCTGATCGTTTCATCCCCAACCGGACGGCGAGCGAGGCCATCCGCAGCACCGGCGCAACCAAGCTTGACAACGAGCAGCGCCCCAAGTCCAGCTCTAAGACTGAGGGATCAGCAGTACTTGCCAACGCCGCCAGTGCTTTCGATCTTGGTGGACGTGGCTCCGAGGAGGATGTAGCGCTTTCTTTGGAAGGCCTGAGTCTGGAGGACGAGGACGAGGAGAGCCGATCACGATCAAAGGCCACTCCTGGCAAGGCTGCCTACCAGTCTGAACTCGCATCAGCATGCGGCATCAACAACAACACGCGCATTCTTGCCTTCAAGCCTGCGCCTCCAGAGTCATCCAAGCCAATCGACCTTCGCTCCCAATACAACCGTCCCCTCAAGCCCGCCAGCAGTGTAAACGCACAGAGCCGCCGCCGCATTCCATCTGCACCCGAGCGCGTCCTCGATGCCCCTGGTCTTGTTGACGACTACTACCTCAACCTCCTCGACTGGTCTTCTGGCAATCAAGTCGCCATTGGCCTCGAGCGCTCCGTGTACGTGTGGTCAGCCGACACTGGTTCAGTAGCCTCCCTCCTCGAATGTCCCGCCGACACCTACATCTCGTCCGTCAAGTGGTCGGGCGATGGTGCATACGTCGGTGTCGGCCTGGGTACGGGTGAGGTTCAGATCTGGGATGTTGAGGAGCAGACCAAGCTCCGTAGCATGTTCGGCCACGAGACCCGTGTTGGTGTCATGGGCTGGAACAAGCATATCCTGTCTACTGGTGCTCGTTCTGGTCTTGTCTACAACCACGATGTCCGCGTCGCCCAGCACAAGATTGCTGAGCTCGTCTCCCACACTGGTGAGGTCTGCGGTCTTGAGTGGCGCGCCGACGGTGCCCAGCTCGCCACTGGCGCCAATGACAACATGGTCAATATCTGGGATGCCCGTGCTCTTGCTGCTCCCAAGTTTACCAAGACCAACCACCGTGCTGCTGTCAAGGCTGTTTCATGGTGCCCATGGCAATCAAACCTTCTTGCCACTGGCGGTGGTTCCAACGACCGTCAAATCTACTTCTGGAACACCACCACTGGTGCGCGCATCAACCACATCCCCACCGACTCCCAGGTCACCAGCCTTCGCTGGAGCACTCACTACAAGGAGATTGTCAGCACTGGTGGCTTCCCTGACAACAGCTTGAGCATTTGGAGTTACCCCTCTGGTGTCAAGAACATGGAGGTTCCTGCGCACGAGTCTCGTGTTCTCCACAGCTGTCTCAGCCCCGATGGCCAGATGCTCGCCACTGCCGCCGCCGATGAGTCGCTCAAGTTCTGGAAGATCTTTGAGAAGAAGCCCGGTCAGCCTTCGGTTGCTGCTGCTGGCTCTGCTTCCACAAAGCCCAGCGCTGTGAAGCAGATGACAATCCGGTAAATGCAACACGACACTGGAAAGTCAGCTTGTGTACCGTGTGCACAAGCAGGAAAAGAGCACTTGGCTCAACACAAATTATAGTCTAGCACGGACATCACAACTACCGGTTTGCGCAATGAAGCTGGTAGCATTCATCCGACTCTACGCGCAACGGTAAGTTGGTAAGTATCACATCTCGGTTTTGGGTATGTGACGCGCTCCTCCTCTCCTTGAAAGAGAAGGATCTCCACATCTACCCTCGGAAATATTTGTCAATTACACGGCTGGGATCCCAATTCATGACTTTCTTGTCCAATTTCAGCAAGCGAGGCGTCTCGGAAGCATTTGCAACACGGCGTTTAAGAATTCAGAACTGGCCTTTCGAGCGTCCAATGGACAACGCAAGTTTGATGATTTACGATACCCATTGGGATTCAAGGAATGAACCCACTCAGTCTTATATCCTTCGAGGGAGTTATGTTTGGTTTGGAAATATGGCGCGCATTGCGCTTGGGTTGATTTTATAATGGAGCACGGGAGTCGGCTATGTCTTGAATACAATGAAATAAGATTGGAATATTCCAAGAGTCGTTTGCGCTTAATATGTGTCTTGTGAGGTGGGATGTTTTTCGGCCAGCCTAGCAGTGACGTTCCTTCCATCTAACTTCAAGTGGTAAGCTAACCATCTTTAGGGCAATATGTCGTGCAGCAAAGGGCGGCGCCAAGCAGTGACATACCCGACCGAAGAACTAAAGAAAGCGATTCATATATGATAAGCTAGCTCCTCTTGCGACCCATGAATTGGACATCGTTTTCACATCACACACGGGTTATTTGAGAAAACAAAGGTGAAGTGGTAGTATCATCAATTCGTCTATGGGTAATGAAGCTCCATGAATTGAGGTGGGTATCTTTCACACCAAATAACTGACTAAGAAACATGATATTTTATCGTAGCACCAAAAATGTAACTGATTAAACAGGGCGCTCATTTGACGCTACGCTCGGGCCTTTGTGGGTCTATTGGCCTGAACTGAATTTCGCCTGGTCTACGATAACGAGACCAGCGACGGTCGCACTAGACAGGGTAGAGAAGACACCCGTGATAAGAGCTGAGACGGCAACGCGAGAGACATCGCCGCTGCGACCCGGGCTGATTTGACTGAGCACACCGATCTGAGTACCGAGCGATCCAACGTTACCGAAACCGCAGAGAGCGTAGGTGGCGATTACGCGAGATCGAGGGGACAGAGAGTGGTATGGTGACTTGGGGTCTGTGCTGACCAGATCGGAGAAAGCAACGAACTCGTTGGTGATGACCTTGACACCAATGAGGCGGCCGACAAGGAGCAGATCGTTCTTTTGGCGGGATACACCGAGGAGGAAAGCGATTGGGTAAAACAGGTAGCCGAGAATCAGCTCGAGGGTCAAATCGTAGTCTCCATCAAGGTTGATGTAGCGGCCCCACCAAGTAAGGAGACCATCAACCAGGTTGAGAAGGGCAATGATACACAAGAGTGTGGAGACGATCATACCGGCAATCTTGAGACCAAGCCAGGCGCCATTAGCAAAGGCATGGAGCGCGTTGGCAGGCTTATGTTCATCGTCATCGGGGACGACGACTCGGCCGGCAGTAAGAGTCTCTTCGGTTTCGGGATATCGCAGCTTGCTGAAAGCCAGGGAAGCGGGAATGCTCATTACGCAGGAAGAAATCAAAGCCTGAGGATTGAGGCCCATACCGATGTAGGCAACCAAGACACTACCAGCGATAGTAGCAAATCCAGAGCACATGACCTGGTGGATTTCGGCCATGGTAAGGTGGGCGACAAACGGTCTGATCAACATGGCGGATTCACCTTGACCAATAAAGGGAGATGCAGAAGCGACGACGGCCTCGGCACCAGATACTCGCATGGACCAGAAGAAGAAGACAGCAAACTTGCCAATGAACCACTGGATGATGCCCCAGTAGAACATGAGCTGGACAAGGGCCACGAAGAAGATGATGGCCGGGATAACGCTGAAGAAGAAGTATGTGTTCTGTGAGATTTCTGTAGTGGTCAAGAAGGCGACGCCGTCTTTGGCGAAACCAAGCAGCTCGCGGGCGAGCTCAGAGATGAAGTTGAAAATGTCGTATCCAGCCGTGGTGCGGAGAACGAAGAGGGCAATGATGAACTGGAGCAGCATACCGACAATGACTGTGTGCCACACAATCTTGTTGCGATGACGCGAAGTAGCCCAGAAAACGACGATGAAGACCAAAAGACCAAACAGGGAGACTGCACGGTTGGCACGGGTGTTGTCTTCACTTTCTTCGCTAGCAAAAGATCCAACAATCATGACGGCAACAACGAGCAGACCAGCCAAGGGCGTGCGCAGCTTCTCTGGGATGAGGTTTGCAAATCGAGTTCCAGTGTTTGTCCAGACCCAGTGCATGGGCTTGGTGACGACGGTGATTGGGACGTGGCAGGTGATCAAGCGGATCATGATTGCGAGCCAGAACAAGAAGGGAATGATCCAGTTCTTGTCATGGCGATGTTCAATCAGACTTGCAATCCACCATCTATGGGTCTGTTAGACGGGGCAATGCGCAAAGACGATTGAAAAAAAAAGGGCAGAGAAAGTTGCGCCTTACCCGGTGAAAAACATGCCGATCACGATGTGGAAAACTGGCCTGTACTTCTTGTACAGCGATGATGGGGAATACCACTTCTTCCTCTTTTCACCTTCCATGTCAGGGTCGGAAGAGCTGCGCGTGGCCTTTTCGACCTCGTAGTCGTAGCCACCGTTCTTTCCGAGCTGGTGCTTCTCATCAGCGATAACAGGATGCGAGTGAGCATGGCTGTCCTGAGCGCTGGCGGAGAGGAATTCGCTGGGCTTCTCGTCGGTGGTGCCAGTGGTGTAGACGACATTGTCTGGGTGGGCAGCGCGAGGGCTGTGGTGCACGTGGGGGTGCTGGTGCTCGTGAGCAATGTCTAGTGCCGGATCATTGTTGCGCGCAACGCCCTCCTGTGGAGAGGCATTGTGCGGTTCGCGAATATCGGCCATGGCAACGAAACGGCAACAAGGGGATGGGGCAGTTCCCAGCAAGAGGGTGAACAATGAAGAACTGTTGGCTCTCTCTCTCTCTTTTCTCTCGAGCCGGCCAGGACGGGGAGTTATATTTTCGCACCGTGGCTCGCGCTACGGCCAAAGTGGAGGGCGATTCGCACCGTCGCCGGCCCAGACAGTGCAAACAGCCATACGGGCGGTCCAAGATGTCTCTTGGCAACTGCCTTTTTCGACATGGGCACAGCACAGGATCGCAGGCCTCGATTGGTCTGCCCGCCTGTCTGGGCTTTCCAGAAGGCTATAGTGTGTGGTTGGGGACCGCTTACTCGCTCTTCCCAGTGCTCGCAGTACCGGCCGCCTTTGCACGCCTCTGTAACGCTTACCGGGTTCTTATCTGCTCCCCAGTCTTGACAGCCTGCGCATTGGCCAATCACGGAGATGAACGTGCTGGGCCATGTCCCTAGCCGTGATAAGCGGCGGCGAATATGCGCCCCTCCTCGGTTGAGCATCTCTTTTCGGCCTCGCATCGACTACTCCCCACCCAGCCTCTGGCCTTGCAGCACGAACCACCGTCGTCTTCCCCGAGCGACTCTCCTTGGCTATACCATAGCAACGGGACTCCGCATGCACCATGCCACAAGGCCAAAAGCACGTGTACACAGGGAACAACAGAGTAAAGGACGTGATCTAGTGTATGCACCCACAAACCAAGCACCCAGCCGAAAATCACCAAAAAGCATTTTTCTTCGACATTTTTGTGGCTAATACCCGCTTACTTGTGGCAAACCTCCACCCTGCACCTGTGCTGACCCACGCACCAGCTACTAAGTACATACGGGGCCATGTGACGCAATATCGAAAGCCCGTAAACCAACGAGAGAGAGAAAAAAGAGCATTCGGATGGGGTTTGGCCGGGAAACAAAGTTATCTCTCGGCCACACTCGGTGCTGCCGCCATTCATCCATCAATTCAAGCCATCCCGATAGCCAGGTCGGCACTAAGGTCTTACATGGTGACCTGCAGAAACGATTAGGATTCTTATCACAAGGTTGCGCATTTCGGTATAAGCGCCGAATCGCGGCTTGCGGACTTCGCCTGTAGATGCCTTTTGGACTATTTGTAGGCACGTGGAAGGAGGGGGGGAAAGCGATTCCTGTACCATGTATATGCATGGTGAGACCAGATGGTCATCATCATAGAACCAGAGCGAGAGACCCGCGGCGTGTGTATGTAATGGGCACTTGGACTGCTTCTCTCCCACTTTATCAACCCCTACTAAACCTTGTCCCTTTTTTTCTTTCCCCGCAGCGGACCCAAACCTTGCTGTTATGGGTTTAACCCCGGTTTTTTTGTGTGGGTTTGGTAGCCGGTTCCATCATCACTAAACATTCGCCAATCCACCCTCCTATCTTCAGCAAAAGACCACTTGCGTCACAGATTTATCCATTGGAATAACTGTTGATTCCAATGTTCTCGCTTCTTCGTTTTTTTTTTCCTTCAAGTACTCGATTTGAAGAAATGGAGCACACAACGTAGAGGTTTGTCGGCTAAACCCCGCAAATCCTCGGCCGTTGCGTCTTAATCCGGCTCGGGCGGCTTTCCGCGGTTCGCTTCACTTTACAATTTACAGTACATAATAGCTCAGCGCAACCCCAGCAGCCCGCATCTCTTTTTTCGGATGCCTGAACAGAAGGGGGAGAGGCGCTGGGGAGTGAATCTTGACTTCTGTCTTGCGGGTAAAGGTGAATTGCTTCAATTTTAAGCATCAAGCTCCCCCCCCCCCCCCCCCAATTGAGCGGGTCCCAAACAAAGCCGAGTCGGACATTAAAAAACTATCTACTACCCAATACTCATTCGTTTTGCGTTGTGGTCCCCCATCTAGTCTCTCTTCAACCCAGACTACTGTACACACCCGCCCCCCGATCTCCTGCTTCCCCATTGACTTAGTCTCTGCCACCCCCTCCCCTCTCCTTTATTTCCCAGAGGCTTGGTATTTGAGGGGGAGGGAGGGGACGGATCCACATGGTGTGAGGTCTCGGCACGGGGTAAAGCCATGGGTTAGGCGGCTGGGCAAGTTTTCCATGTGACTGAGAGCAATATGTATTCTACACTTTTTTTTCCGTGTCTTGCGATTGGAATGGTAAGTTGTTGACATTGTGTTGGTTTGGGGTATGCAAAAGATTGGAGGTGATGGAGCTCAACCGGTGAAGTCCCACGACTGTTGAGGCACATGTTTTGTTTTGTTTTTGCGCGCGTAGACAAACAGAGGATGAGCTGAGAGAGCGGGGGGACCGAATCTAACTTTGTTTGTTTGTTTGTTTTAAAAAAAATCAGGCACAGGTATGGCTGTGTGAAATAGCTTTTTTTCCTACAAGGCCACCCTGGATTCGTCGCATCGGAGATTACTTATATGAATGCTTGGACGTTCAGAATGACTAGTCACTCAGCAACACATTACATGCGTAAAGGGGTCAAAGACATGGCTATTTCCTGCACCTCAAGACACAAAAACATAGTACAATGGAATAGCATACGACAAAGGGGTATATACAAGCCGAGTCATTCTATAACACCATACACCGTACACCATGCCCAATGCCGCTGAAGTATTAAACAACATATCCCCCATCATTTTCTCCTCAAACTCCTGTAAGCGACTGATAAACAAGAACATCCTCGTTCAAACGACCAACCGTCCCCTCTTACTTGCCTGTCATTTCCCCTTCCAAATGCTGCCAACACGTTAGCAACCATGCCATCACTCAGATTAGAGACTAAGAATAGTAATACGTACCGACCACTCCGGAATATCACGTATGCGCTGCCACATGTACCTCTCGAGTCGATTCGCAGCCTTAGCATACGGCGTACTCTCATTGTTATACTTGCGACAATTGTCAAAGATAAGCTTAGCATCTCTGATGAAATCCTCTGGGTTAGGGTAAAGATCCTTTTCATGCTTCTCCTCCATGGTAGCAAGATCCATAGGTTCTTTGATGACATCGTAGTAATCCAGGACCTCGTCTTTGTTGACGGGTTGTTGAAACGGCCAGGCGTTGCTGTTGTTCTGCATGTCGTTGAGGAGGTGGAGGAGGGCGTTGTAGTTGGGTCCGTGGCGTGGGGCGCGGGCGAGTTCGTCCATGACGGGGGACCAGCCGGAGTCTTTGATGGCGGGGATGGTGAGGGGGTCGATGGGCTTGAGTTCCCCCTTTGTCCATTGAGCTGGCGGCGAGTGTATTTCGTAGCTCTTGCTTACAGCCATTATCTTCGCATTTGCACACTCTTTTTGCTTAAGGAGCATACGACCGGATTCGAGGTAGCGGATCTTGGGGACCATGCTGCATTGCATGATAGTGCCGCCCTCGTAGTCCTTGATGTAGCCCATCCATCGCGACTTTTCCAGTGTAATTTCCTTGGTGAAGCCCTGTTTCTTGAAGTATCCAATGGCGTAGTTGTCGGCGTAGGTGAGAAAGTGCATGACTTTGGATGTGGCTTTGACATAGTCCTTCAGATGCGACATGAGATGAGCACCGTAGCCTTTGACTTGCTGATCCGATGAGATGGCGCAAAAGACGATTTCGGCGAACTGACCCTTGTCAAAGGGGCGGTAGGTTATGCCTCTGTGGTGCATGAGAGTCAGCGTTTAGTACTACACGAACGGGAGGCAACACGTGGCCACGCACCCTACCACTTCAAGCGGGTGTTTCACAATAGCTATACTCAAGTGCGTTCGGTCGTAGACGAGACGAGCAATGTAGTCCTTGGGCATCTTGGGCAGCTGCTTCTGGAAGATACACTTCAAGCCCGTCAAGATGATTGTGCTTTCCCGCCGACCATCGTTGTTGACGACTCTGAACTCAATCTCGCCATTGCGCTCCTCGATAACCGCAGGCTTTTCTGGAAAGGGCACTATCCTCTTGACTGGTGGCGCGGGGGCGTCGTCGGTCTGCTCGGGTGTAGGTGGGCTATGCTTTATGCGCTTGGGGGAGGCGTTGGGAGGATCGGTGGTCGCTTTGCGCTTGGCTGGATGGGACGAGGGGTCAGCTTTTTGCAGGCTCAAGGGTACACCTGGATAAGAGTCACGTGTAGCGAGAGTGGGTATGGGGAGTGGTGAAGACGGGGGAGAGGTGGGATAGCCCAAGAGGTCGCGCAGATGCGGGATGTTGTTGCGGGGAGACGGCATACTAGGTGCGCGACAGGCGTGCAGGGCCGAGTGAGGGCGGACGAGGGGGGCTTGGAGGACGAAGAAGCTGCGCACTTACTATCTTCAGTTGCGCCCGCCATAATGTGGTGTTGAGCGCCTTCTGTGGTGTTGGGGCGCCTTCTCGTGTCTGGTCGCGCCTTCTGTTGCCCTGGTGGTTGACTGAACAAACGTCAGGGCAAGTCGCGCCTTCCGCATTGACCGACAGGCCGACAACCAATCACAGCACGCGGCGGCCAGAGAACACCGCCGTCCAGAGGCCACGGCAGCAGCTTCACGAAAGACTCCCGAATCAACTTCCAATTGCCAATACTGCACAAATGTCGAACCCGCTTCTAGACGTCTGGGAGGCTGCTGCTTCCCAGCCCTTTCATCCTACCATCGGAAAGGATACGCAATTCACTGTCGGCTTTGCACTGCTGGCTGCATGTATGTTGCGCTCCGGACCCTTCTGGTGCTCGCATAGTAGAGCTTTACTAACAGTATGCGTAGCCCTCGTCCTGACCACCATCTTTGGCTTGAGTATGTCCAACACGTCCGCTCTTGTCTTCACCCCGCAGTCACTCACACGTATCCTTACAGACCGATCGCTCGTCAACCTCCCAATTCTCGGAGTTCCGGCATCACTGGCATTCGGGTACGTGGCCTCCAGTATCGATACGCCTCTCCCGTACTGACCGCGAGCAGCTTCGGCGCTGTGTACATGATTTGCGCAGTCGGTGTATACGTCTAGTTTTCGTGTTATATCCATCCGGCGTTGGGAAGGGACCTCTTATGTGTACAATTTATGGAATACCAATAAAAAGTTCAAGACGCTCGAATCTGCATGCGTCATACACTATTACACCATCGTTTCGACCATAGCTTTACCGCGCTCATAACTATTCCCTCAGATACAATCACACTACAGTAGAATGGATGACCAAGACCAGCCCGTTCTCACGGCCGTGTCGAGTTCAGCGCGTCAGCTATACCAGCTACTGCGATGCATCGCCTTTTCCAACAAAGCGCACGTCCAGATCAGCGACATAGGCCTCAAACTTGCCGTCGATGAAGCAAGCGTCATGGAAGGTGCGTATGCATGTGCCTGTTCATCTGCGTCCCTTCCAAACTAACCACATAACAGCGTCCGCCTTCCTTGACAAGTCCCTTTTCACAGCCTACACCTTCAACGATTCTGACGATGCGTCCGAACCGACACCCGTCTTCCAAATATCGCTGCCCGCTCTTCTCGAGACACTCCAAATATTCGGCCTCACCGACCCCGCCAATTCCAAACCACCATGGGCCCGCGACGCGCCTTACCCCACCAGTACTGCCTTTACGGGCAACAACATAATGAATGGCATGAACAACATGTGTCGCATTAGTTATCAAGGCGAGGGTTCTCCGTTAGCAATCACATTGACGGAACTGAGTATACGCACCCAATGTGACTTGACAACCTACAAGCCTGAATATGCCGATGAGATTCCATTCGATCGCGATGCTCTTGTCCTCAAGGTCATCATGCGAGGCAGCTGGCTTTACGACGCGATCCAAGAACTATCCTCTACGAGCCCAGAAAAGCTGACCATGTACGCCAAAACCGTGCGTGGGAAGCCGTTCTTCGCCCTCTCGTCATCAGGCACACTCGGTTCCGCACGCGTCGAATTTAACAATCAGTCTCAACCCTCTGCTTATCGCACCCCGGCATCCACAAACCTTAACGCGGCCAGCGACACGGCCGCGGCCCCTCCAACAAACCTTCTAGAGAGATTCCAGCTCAGTGATTCCGATACCGTCTTTCGCTCAAGCTACAAGTTTAGCTTGATACAAAAGGCTGCACGTGCAATGAGCGTAGCTAGCAAAGTCAGTATACGTGCAGACACTCAGGGTGTGTTGAGCCTGCAATTCATGATCGAGGTTGAGAGCCCCGCTCCTGGTCCAGGTGCCGGTGGTGCAGGATCACTTGCAGCCGGGAAAAACGGGTTTGTGGATTTCCGCTTCGTGCCGCTTGTGGACGATGATGATGAAGAGGTGGAGGCGGGACACATTGACGAGACGATAATGCAGAATGTATCTGCGGGTGATGAAACGAGTGACGACGATACGTTGTAATGGACATGGAACATGCATCACCAAATATACCAAGAATCCAGTCTTGAGTACATGCTCATTTTGGAATTTTCCTAGAGATGCTAGTCTTTCTGTGTGTCGGATTAAGTAGCTTGCACGTTCGTCCCCATAGCAAACTGGATAGAGAAAACCGTCGAGGAAAAAAAGAGACTCCAATGCACAATTTTGACTTCATGTCTCAATCCTCCCCACCCTAAAAACATTTGTGGAGTTGATGAATCGATTACTGGGCTGCAAATATCGTCCCGAGACCCCACCTCCTTGCTATCCCACCTTCTCTCTCTCCGCATAAGAAAAAAACCCAAGCAATGAAACCAGAAACCAGAGAATTTATGTCCACCAATGGGACATTCATACCGAGAGAGAAAAAAACAACTGAAAAGGAAAAGAAAGCCAACGACGCCTTTGCTGTAAGATTACAGAGAGCCAGCAAGCGGGAAACTTGCTCTTCATCTTCTTCTAATTCATCGCTATTTTGGCATTAACTCTCCTTCCCTCTCCCTTTCCTTAATCGAAAAAAAAACTACTGGAAAAGCACCAAAAAAGGATGCCAATTTGTGAAATGCAATCGATGAACCAGGTGGGGGGGAAGGGGGGGGGGGAGTCAAGATTATGCCATTTCCCAACGTTCGAAAATCCATTGTTCTTTTCTTTTCTTTTCCCCTCCTTTGAGGATAAATTTTTGTTTTTATTTGTGTACGCGTGTTTTTTTTTCCTCGCGAAATAATCTGAAAAGAAAACAGGTTTTGACCAGGGCGGGGTGAAGATAAGGAATCCAATCTGAGTATGTTTATCGCTATTCAGGCTACCGGGCGTTTTTTGAAGACGCCAGAATAACGGTCATTAAAAAAAAAGCAGGGAGAGTGATGGAAAGTCGATTCATGTCTTAGTAGTGTACAAATGGTAATTGTCCATATTGTGTAGGGGGGCTTTTTGCGTGTTGGGTAGGGACGTGTGCTGTGCCGTTTGTGTGCGCGCTGAGGGAAGGGGACTTTAGAACTCAAGTTCAGCCACCACAGGTATTCGTGTGGTTTGCTGTTAGTTTTTTATCTACCATTCGAATTCACCATTTGCCTTGTGAAAGAGATACCTATCGTCTGTCAGTATGCTTGCAACGGGTAGGTAAGTCTCTGTAAGGACTAGACTTACTCCTTCTTGTTCGTGGTGAGGATACCGTCCTTAAGGGTGCACTTCCACTTGTTCTTGACGCGCTGAACCTTGTCATAGGTGCACAGCATGTAGTCTACCATGTCATCGTCGCTATTGTCACCGTCGTTCAGCTCGTCCTCTGAATCGTCGAGGTCAGAGTTGATGGCATCATCGGGATCCTCCTCCAGCTTAACGTCGTCATCGCCGTCAAAGCGAGCAGGTGGGGGTACACTGGTTGAAGCTGCAGCATCTTCTGCTTGTAGAACACGAACAGCAGCCTTTCGCTTCTTGCCTTTCGGCATCGAGTCCAGAGGCACCATGAGACCACTATCCTGGCGCATCGCCATTGCATCAACACGGGCACGCATAAAGTCGTCGGCTGCCATGCGCTCTACAGCTGAAGCAGCACGGGCAGCTTTGAACGCCTCCCAGTCCGCCAGAGCATCGTCTGGGCCATCCGTCTGCGACGGGTACATTTGGGTTTGATGCGGAGGTCGTTGCTGCTGCATTTGCTGTTGTTGCGTTTGCTGGTGCGGCATTTGCTGCTGCTGCTGCTGTTGTTGTTGTGGATGATGCTGCTGCTGCTGTTGAGGGGCCATCATGCGCTGCTGCTGGCCTTGCATAGGCATCTGGGGCAAATGGCCCTGTTGAGGCATGTTGGGGTAGTTTTGCTGGTGTACATTGCCTTGCTGCTGCACACGTTGCTGAATCAGAGCAGCAGCCCGCTGTTGCGCCAACTGTGAATTTTGGTCATAGCCGCCATTGTATCCGTTGGTCGCAGGTTGGGCCTGTGGGTAGTTGGGAACAGGTTGCTGGTAGCCCCCCTCGGCGTTTACTGGCCCAGAGGACGGTGGGATCTCATTATCGACCTTGACGTTAGAGGGCACCGTAGGCGGCTGGCGGACGGGTTCTGGAGCGGGGTCCCATGGCAGATGGGCAATCTTGAGCGCCGACAATCTCTCTTGCCATCCCTATGCATGGTTAGTGGCTGCTGGCAATAAAAGCATGATTGAAGGCAGAGTGCTCAGAGGGCCGTCACATGATGAGCTATGACGGTTCGGGAAAGGATGCACGGAGCTTGGCGGGTGGGGGAGCTGTGCAGGGGCTATAAGAAGGTGACCCAAATACTGAGTCGCCCCCGAGCTGCCAGACCGACCGGCAACCCAGCCCCGCTTTCAGCCGCCCATCACCCCCCAAAGCCAGGCAGCCATCGCGCCATTGTCGTAGCGAACGGAAGAAACGATACGGCCAGATATCCGATCAAGTTCAACTGGGGGGAAACCATGGCCGCCGTGGCGCGGGGATAGAGGCGCGATGGCTGCCATGCTGCGATCGAGGCAAGGAAAGGCGCAAGAGCCAAGATACTGGCCAGGTTGCAACATACCTGCTTCATCTCTTCCAGGGTGCTTTGGTCGACGCCAGACTCCTCGAAGTCGTTCTGCGACGCCTGGATTACTTTCTCCATTATCTGTTGATAGACTCCGCCCTGGTGGTCGCTGTTAGCAAGGCTGCCTTTACCCTCGCACCACTCGCTCGCGCGCGCACGCGTGCATCGCCCAGGGAATACTAACCACGACCGAGTTCGACATGATTGCGACTGTTTGTGTATTGTCTCAGCTATCTAGTATATGCTTTAGGCTTTGGACGCTGGACAAAAGGTCGCGAAGGCTTGGAGGACAAGGCAGGCGACGTCAGCGCTTGAGGCTGCAGATAGG